TTTCATCAAATTGCTTTAATCTGTATTACGGAACTGTAAAGGATGATATTATAATCTGAAATTGAGATAATTCTCTAGGATTTTCATGATTTTTACTACTCTGAATAGTTCTATCATTATATGATCTTAATGAATATGTTCAAGATCTTTTCATTTGTTGATTAGGAAGATAATTTATCTTAAATTCTTTTGAAGTATATTAAAATACGATAATTGTTAGGTAAAAAGTATACTTGAACTTTGAAAATAAGAATGAAAAAAAAAGCTGGTTATAAGAAGAAGTACTATTTGACAAAGTGAAACGAAATATATTGCTGTTTGAAGGATCTACTGAAAACTGGATGTACATAAGGAAATTGAGGAATGAGTAGGATTCGAGATATTTATAAAAAGGCCCTCTCAAATTTGTTAGTACTTTATTCCTCTAATATTTCCTTGCCATCTTCCAATGCTTTTTAACATTTTGCCATTTTTTTACTACAAATTCATTCGCCGAATTTTTTCATTTCCTTTTCTATCATTCCTTCTATTATCGGTCAGAATTTAAAAAATGAAAAAACGCTGTCAATTGGATAAAATTCTCATTTTCAGTTAAAGAAAATAAATATAAATTGAATGAATAAAATATTTGTTGACAGCTGTAGCACTTTGAAAAAAAAACAATGAATTCCTATTGTTTAGACTTTTCCTTCTCATATAATGTATGCATTAATACGATGGTATCTCTCTTTAGGTTCGTAAACTTTCATTCTATTTATTTATCAATTAAACTACAGTATTCAATATTATTATCACTTTCATAATACGTTAAATAATATAAGCGAATTTGTGAGAATTAGTAATCATCAATGCTTATTGTTCTAATCTATCAATGTTACTAGCAATTAATTAAGTTCACACAATCGATTTACTACAATTTTTAAGATAATATAAATATCACATTGTTTGCTTGAATAACAAACCAAACTGAGAATAATATTTTGATTTATTCGTGAAGTTTTTCTATATATTAATTTTTATCATTCATGCAATAATGATATGTGATATTTTTTCTGAGAATCTGTTTCAATGAATTAAATATATTTTTGTGAAAATTAATTTCACAATAATTTATGGCTATTGTTCTAAAGAACTTTGAGATCAATTTGTAATCAATCAATATTGCGAATAGTTTCTGAAATTAAAAATTTCAAATTATCGAAAATTTTCTTCAAATACGAAATTGTATCTTGCATATTAATGCTATTAGATTTAATATATTAAAATAAGAAATTTCATTTCATAGAACTGAGGGAGAAACAGAATGGTACTAAGAAATTTGGGAGCAAAACTAAGATTAAGTAGAATCTATCTCTCTTCATATTTAATACAAATATATGAATTAACAGATTCCCATTGTTTTGTTTGTGCCAACATTAGTGTCATTAGTCATCGATGTGAGCTTTTGAAGAAATCAATGTTTTATTCTTTGAGGACTATTACCAGCCGCCTTTAAAAAAAAGAGTGCTTCATCATTAAACGCTCATAATTGTACTGTGCTTGAGGCACTTCCAAATTTCGATGATATCTGGCTCAAAAGTAATTATTTAAAGGGCCACTGCAAACATTATATTACAATTATAATACAGCAAACAGTAAGTTAGATCTTCTGATTTAATATATTTTAAAAATTATTGCTATAATAAAGGCCTGGATAATTTTTTGGCAATTCATGGTATTGATCCTATGAAGCATTGTATAGCCTATCGTCTTCTTTTTTCATCTCATTTCTCGCTTTTCTATTTCGAATGAAGATATGATAATTGATATTTTTAGGATAAGCGAAAAACGTTGTTTATCTGAATTTATCATGTGATAGTTAAAATGTAAATTTAGAAGAGATCAATGTGTAGAAAAAGTGGGAAATGTTCAATTCTGATAAGCTTTGTATGAAACTTTGATTATTTTCGGAATGAACAAATTCGCGAAAAGCTGAAGAATATTTCTCGATTTGTGTATTTTTTTAGCCTATCATTAAGCTTATGATTTCTCAAACTTTTTTTTATAAGAAAATTCAAAATTAAATCTGATATTAACATGTTGAACCAGTTGAAATTCAAATACTATGATACTGAATATATATGGAAGTAATTTCTGCGATTTCTGAATTCAGTAAACATCGATGTTTTAATTTGTAGGCTTAACGAATTGTTTCATTTCATTTATAATTCAAAATCATATTTTTACTTCTAAGCAAACTTATAACTAAACGGAAAATTCATCAGAAATATTATCAAATTCATATGTCTCAAAGAAAACCCGTGCATTTCATGTCGTACATTTCTGTCAAATTTTCTTTCTATTCATTAAACTACGAATAAGTAGAAATATCTATTTTAAATAGAATTTTCTTTTTCCCTTCAATGTGTGTATGTGTATGTGTTTTCTTTGTTTGTATTGTTGCTAACAGCAAAAGCTAAAAATATTATCACTGATTCGATCCATTACCATAAAGAGAGGGAAAGAGAAAATTTTTTGATAAGATATAAAAATGAAAGGAAACACTGTCAGGAACCAATTTATACAACAATGCGGAAGTAATACTTCGGAAGACCTTTGAGTTTGTAATTTTTTTATTTTTATAATTATGAGAAAGCCGAAAGGAAGCATTGAGTAGCTGCTATATTATATTATTTTGCCACAGGAATTTGCCAATAAATAAATTCTATACATTCCTTATTACTATTTATCACAAATAATAAATTGTTTAATTTAGTAATACTGATTGTTTGATGATTTTATTGATAAGTTATCATGGGTATACGAAAAAAAAATTAAACTCCACTTATTAATTTTCTAATTCTGTTATCAAGCAAGCAATGTTAAGGTTAATAGATGACAAAATTAAGTATAAATGATAGCAAATAAAAGTTAATTTGAAGAAAGAGCATTGAGGCTGCGATTAACTTCCTCCGAACTATTTTTAGATTAGTTTTTAAATTTCAACTAAGTAAATAATAGTTAATTGTTACATTGATCCTTTTGAGTGCAATGAAATGAATTTTTGAATGTGAATCTTTTAGAAGCAAAAGAATTGAAATGGTAAGGTGGAACGATGCATAAATCACCTTTAATTTCACTACCATTACATTCATATACGGTAAGAAAATATGAATTGATAAGTGTTCTTCGAATTAAAATTACTACCTGAAATAAGTGCCGATAATTTCTTCACTTTTCTTCACTTCACTTTGTTTTCTATTTTCAACTCTATTAACTTCTGCACATATTTTATCAACTTCTAATATTATTTTTGTACAATATACAAGAAATACCATGGGGATTTTTTAAATTTCAAATATCAATTGAATTGAAGACATGCTATTGAATTTCAAAAATTTTTATTAATTCATTTACATTAATTATATTATCTGAATTATCCGTATATAATAAATGATTTTGCAACTTTTCTACTACACTCATTCTACTACCTTTTATAACTATAACTTTTGCTTTCTATTTTCAACTCTATTAGTAATATTGAACGTTAGAAGATATAGACTAAAATGAAATAACATTTTGATGAAAGTTTTAGGTGAGGAAAATATAAGCAATTTTTTCTCTTCAGGCCAAGAAATACTTATAAATGGCCTAAGAGTTGATGTTAGAAAATTGTGAAATCTTCATATGTTATTAAGTACTTCCAGGGATGACATTTTATTGCGAGCATTTGATTTGATATTGCTAACCGAAAGATGGCTATTTCTTAGTTTTAAATTTTCTTTAAAACTTTTTTTAAATTTAAAAAAAATTTTTTTTAAAAACTGACATCGCTCAATAGAAAGGAATTAATTGATAATAGCACTTCTTTTCTTTGAAGGAAAATTTGGAACTAACAATAAAAGTACGAATTTTCAGCAATATATTTAAAAAGAAATTGGGTGGTTGCTCATTTTTTTAAAAAGAAATAATATATGGCTGTTAAATTTAACTTTTAATGGAACAATTAAAATTAGCTGTCAGTATTGAATAGAAAAGAGGAAAATTATCATCATCTTTATTGATTATATCATATTGCGTTCAAAAGTTTGCAACAATTCTGAAAGTAAAATACGATGGAATAATAGCTTATTTTGCATATCCCTTGGAATCAGAGGAAATGAAATTAGTTAAAAAGGAAAAAAAAAACGAAGTAAAATAGGCAAAAATATGTTTAGGCTTCTTAATGCATCGTATGAGGGTGGTAATAAGAGGAAGAGATACTATACACTTAAAATTTTTGGTTTAGTTAAATTTTGTTTTCAATTAATCTAAGAGCATACTAATGCATACAACTCTTTACTTCTTTCTTTTTTTTTATTCAACAATTCAATAAATAAACTGGCAAGAATAAATTTTCTAAAATTGGATATTTTACCTTTTACACCTATTTCTAAAATACTTCGACGAAATTATAAACTTTCATTTGCATTTTCTAATTTGTTATCTTTTCGTACTTATCATTGCTAATAAATGACAGTTCTTAAAAGTTTCTGCACAGATTTGAAAAATAACAGAAAGTAATTAATTAGCTAACGATTTTAAATTTGTTATTAATTAGCTAACGCTAAATTAATAATAAATTTAAAATCAATTACTGTTGTAATTGATTGTTGGAAGTTACAATATGAGTGTAAAATTTAAATTTGTTTGTTTCTTGCAGTTCATTTCTGATTTATCATTTGTTGCATTTTGCAATGTTTATTTAACATTGAATTTAAAATAATCATTAAGTAAAAAACAATAAGTTTTTAATTTAGGTTTTTTTGTTTTTGAAATGATTTTTTAACAAATGAATTCGATGATTTAATAATTGTTTTTTTCTTCTTAAATTATGAATAAGTTATAATAATTCGATTTTTGATAATTAATCGAGTATAACAATAGAAAAGTTGATTATAAAAAGAGATAGACATTTTAAAAATATTGTTTAATTTTTAGGACAAAGGGATAAGGATGATTTATTATGATGTGGACGAAGGATGATGCACCCGTACTTCGCTGCTTTTTATCTGTTCATATTTATAACAGTAGAAACGATTTATGCCAATGGAATATCATTCAATGATGAACCTATCGTTCACACGAAATTAGGCATTATTCGAGGCGTACAGCAGGTAAATTCGTAAGCTTTGCATTTCAAAAAATTTTGAAAAAGTCATTCAGCAAAAAAAAAAACGATAATTTATTGTAATAACAATTTTTTATAATATAATAATTTTTATGATAATTATGATAATAATAATAATGATAATAGTAACAATAATAATAATAAAACAAATAATTAGAATTAACAACGACATTGAAACATACCTTAGTAAAAAAATTTAAAGAGTTGATTGAGGAATTTGTGGAATGATAATGAATAGAGAGAGTGAGTGTAGGATGTGATATATGATATATTTCATGTTATCCTTCTACTGATAGCTAGGAAATTTGATGATCTCATTGGAAATGCTAAACAAACACTAACATTCCAATAGGCAAATATTGGCAGAGAAGATTAATGAGAAGACAAAGCAGAAAAGTGCATTTTGTCAGAATTTAAGCAATCGGTAATAAAATTTATTGTGAAAAAGTATTCAGGAAGTAAGTATTCAGGTATATTAATGATTGCTATGTTTGTAATGCCAGAAAAGTATGAAAATCATTGTTGAATATTGCGGTAAATATCGGTAAGTTTTCATCTATAAACGAACTTGTTGGCCTCTTTCCAAGTTCGTTCAAATTGAAGTTAATTTAATTGCAGCAATTGAATGGTACATTTGTAAATGCCTACCTCGGGATTCCATTTGCCCAACCACCTATCGGTAATCGAAGATTTGCATTGCCCGAAATGATTGAACCATGGCAAGGTGAATTGGAAGCCCAGAAACCTGCTCGAACGTGTTACATTACTCCAGACAGTCAGTTCCCGCAATTTCCTGGAGCCGAAATGTGGAATCCACCAAATGTAGTCTTTATTTGATGCATGTTTCTTATGATTAGTCTTGCAAAAAAAGAAAAATAACATAATTATTTTGCATAATGATTTTTTGAAATCTAATTGACACCTTCCACTTAATGGAAATTAAAAAGAATCTTATACTAATAATAAAATGAAAATGAAATCATACTAATTAGTTTGATAATGAATTTAAGTATGCTCTTCAAATTAAAATGCTGCAGTTCACTAATTGTTTAGTTACTCCACAGTCAGCAGTGCTAAAGCGAAATATTGCAAACTTCAACCAAACTGAAAACATAATGTGTATTGAAAGCAATAAGGATGATGAACAACTAGTCTACTAGGCTTCTAGGCTACTAGACTACTGGTTGATGGATCTTTCAATAAGTCTAGCAGCATTGAGGATTTTTTTTTGTTGTATATTTGTGGAGATGAATAGGTGGTATACGGAGATGAATAAAAATGGAAATGAATAGGTATACGATGAAGATTGTTTGGCATTGAATATGTGGGTACCAGAGAAACATGACGGCAAGGTAATGGTATGGATTTTTGGCGGTGGTTTCTATTCTGGTTCACCATCTTTGGATCTTTATGATGGACGAATACTTGCAAGCCGTCAAAAGACAATCGTCGTTAATATTAATTACAGGTAAAGTAGTAAAGTACAGTATTAATAATCAAAAATCCTTTTGATTCTAATCTTTAATACAAAAAAAAATCCTTTTTACTCTTAAGTTTAAGTGAGGTGGAATGAAAAATTATTACTTTTTCTTGCAAATCGATAGATAATAGCATTTCTAATCTTACGATAATTCTAATGGTATTTAACTGCTTAATTATGAATCAATCAATATACTATCATAAACTGAAATAAGACTCTCGCGAATCTCAAAAAAGATTTGTCACATTTAACGAGAATAACTTTCATGAATACAGTTGTTGTAAAGTTAAATCATTTGAAATTATTGGTATTCACTTATGCTAATACTTAATTTTTGGCCTACTATAGGCTAGGACCATTTGGTTTTTTGTATTTTGGTGCCAGATCATCGATACCTGGTAATATGGGCCTAATGGATCAACAACTTGCTTTACAATGGATTTATGAAAATATTGCTTCATTTGGTGGTGATCAAAATAAGGTATTTTTCAAAATGATCAAATTCGTTTTTTATTAATTTTGAATAATTTGATAAAAATCAAAATACTGAAATATAAATTTTAATAAAACTGAAGTACAAAACAAAGAAAAAATTTTGCAGATAACATTGTTCGGAGAAAGCGCAGGTGCAGCATCGGTAACGGCACATTTTTTTGCACCCGGAAGCTTTCGTTATTTTCGAAGAGCAGTGCTTATGGTGAGCAAATTTGATTTTAAGTTCAATTCAATTTTCCCGAAACTTTTTAATCACAAATTTCATAGCTATAGAGTGGTACGATAGCGAATTCATGGGCCATAAAAGAGAAAAATATGGCATTAAAAACATCATTGCTTTTGGCAAACAAATTGAACTGTACTTCCGGACAAGACGACATTGCTGATGTTAACTTGATTGCGCAGTGTATCCGGCAAAAACCTTCTTCAAATATACAGGTATTTAATAATTTAATTCCTTTACGCATGGATTAAATCCCTCCCCAAATATCTAATTTCTACAGTTTCGTGGAGCTAAAAAAAATTAAAGATTTTCTTGCTCCAATCTTAAATTTGGTATTCTCAGATTAGAAATTTTACAGATATCTTCAGGAAAATAAAAATCGAACTGTGAAATATTAGCAAACTTTAGATTATTCTATTGGTTTTCTCCTTTTGATTAATTATTGCTAATCTAATAGTCAGTGTACTTAACAAATTATCAACACTTCTATTGAAATGAAATAAATTGAAACTGAAATTAAAACGAGTCAACTAATTGTACGGTTATCATTTGATAAGTCAACTAATTAGTAGACGTCATTATATTTCGAAATATCATTTAACTCTCTTCAAATATCGATAAGTGTAGAGAAGTTTGTGATAAACAAAGATTGATCTGAATTAAATAAATTACATTTGCAGAAGGCAGCGGATGCTGTTAGCATGGATCAGATCCTACCAATGACTTTCCCATTTGTGCCTGTCGAAGAAGATGAACATTTTTTCAAGGTTCGAAACTAACGAATCATTCATTCGGTTAGCTTTGTGCTTCGTTAAAGGCGCAACTATATTTTCAATCCTTACAACAATATTTTCTTTCCTTTTTTTTGTAAAATTTAATGCTTACTCATTTCTTGGCCAGCATCGTTTCTTCTCTTGGCCTCATATCGTTTGTGAAATTCTTAAATATAAGCTCATAATTATTCTGAAACCAATAGTTGCGCCCAATAAACAGTTGTAAGTAAGATTTTGATAAAATTATTATGATAACTTATGCTTAATTTGATAGTTTTTTAAAGGGTAATTTATTAGCAAAATTGAGAATGCGCGATTTTACAAAGAATATAAGCGTATTAATTGGTTCGATGAAAGATGAAGGCACCTATTGGTTGCCTTATTATTTTCTCAATCCTAAAATGGGTTTTCAATTCAATCATACGATATCTGCTGATGATCCTACTAATCGAGCTTTAATTAATAGGTTTATTTTATTCCTTTTTTTTTCGACTAAATTAGTTTTGCTTAATTTTTTTGTTTGCATTTCAACGGATAGAACTAAAATAGAAAGCTAAAGAGAGAGAGAGAGAGAGAGAGGGAGTGGACGAAGATTTGACCAGTCCATTTATATTTCTCAAATTTGAGTGATTTTCAATTAATGATCAATCACTTATGTTATGGGAAATTTTTAAAATTGAATAATAATTTCATATCAGAGCACAATATACCTGTTCAATCCAATTGCTTATACCATATTTTGATGGTTCTCAATTGGTGAAGCATGCATTATTGAATGCATATGAGGAGGTTTGTTTAGTTCACTTTATTTTTATTAAATTAATAATTGATTTAGAGATGTGCAAGTTAATTCAATCTTCTTTAATTTTTTAATACGTTGACTTTTTTTTAAAAAAAAATTATGTTTACTTCATTTTCTAATTTTCACGTTTACGTTTATTTATCTTACCTTGCATTTATTAGATATCGGAGAGTAAGAATCAACAAGAAAGATTACGTGATGGCGTTGGACGCTTTGTTGGAGATTTGTTTTTCACATGCAGCTTAATCGAATTTGCTGACATTCTAGCAGATAATATTTATGGTTCCGTATATATGTATTATTTTACAAAGAGGTATTCCAGATCTCTATTTAGATCTTTTCCTTCAATTACTATTAGATTAGCGAATCATAAACGTAAGCACGCGCCTATTACTTGACCTTTTGGTTTCTGGAAGAAGGGGGAAACTCATAAAAACCACTTCTCTCCGAAACTAGGAACAGAAATGTTATATTAAATTTAGTTTACATTCACATTTACCATTCTACATCACCAATTAAGCCTCCCACTTCCATTGCTCGATTTCTTTTTGCTTTAATTTCAGTATTTATTTTTCAGATTCATTATTCTCTTCTACTTCAGATCTTCAGCAAATCCATGGCCAAAATGGATGGGAGTGATGCATGGTTATGAAATTGAATATGTATTTGGACAACCTTTTAGGCATAGCCATTTATACGCACAATCACAGCTTTATTCTGAGAAACGTTTCTCAGAAACAATCATGAAATATTGGACTACTTTCGCTGCTGAAGGGTTAGTTCTTTCAAGCGTTGTAAGATTCTTAATCAATTATCATTGATATTATTGATCACAGTCTACATAATATTTCTCATCATAACTCCATGATATTTAGTTTTAAATCTCAACATTAGACATTGTTGATAGTTGTACATTTTTAAAATATACGCTTTTACAGTGTTCCCAACCCAGAGTGGCCAAAGTACAACAGAGTGACGCGTAAAGCATTTGTACTTAATGATGAAATAACAGGTAGCAATCATAAGATTGATGTTGACGTACATGGCAAATCTTGTAGTTTGCTTTCAGAAGCCCAAACTTTTACAAAGCACAGTAAGTTCTTACCATAATTTGGAACATTTTATTGTCATCTTTTTTGAAATAAATTATTGATATAGGATCCGGAAAAGTTTTATCGTTAACAGGATTGCTGAAACGGAAAGATTGCATAATGAATTAAGTGATTTAAGATAGATAATTCTATAATTGAAATACTTACCTTTTTATTATTGAACAAAATTCATCTTATTCACACATAGATATATCTTAACAAAATTTCAGAGTGTAATACAAAAGAATATGCATATATGTGGCAATCTAGCAGCGTTTCTTCCCGCATTTCCTTCTACAATTTTTGTATTTTAATCATAAATCTTTGCCTTGTTTTGTATTAATACAGTCATTTTACCAAAATTTTAAGTTAATTGTCTCTAAAAAGTGAAAAATTTTTTATCAAAAAACTAAAATAATTTTTAATTAAATTAATTTTTATTTTCTTCCAACTTTTGTTCGTATCGATATTCCACAAAAAAGAAGATAGTAGAGGTTATGAATATCTCCATCATTTATGACAGCTTTACGGAACAAGATTTATCTATCTGTCTATCTATCCATCTATCTATTATTTACATTTCAAATATCGATTGATTGAAATATTTTTTTTTAATAAAAACAAAAATTTGTCGTTTTCCCCTAATTCATTTGATGTATAAATAATATAAATGTATTAAATTTGGAACTTTTTTGAAAAAAACTTTTCATATGGCATGAATAAAGTTTAGTCTTTTTCTTTCACATATATGTATTCTGTACTTCAATGATTTCAACTTCTATATTAGTACATTAAGGAAAGAAAATGGTGCTCGTTATTCATTACGAAGCAATAAATTGATAATGAAAGGAAGGACTGATGAGAAAAAGTTCTCTTCATTATCTCTGCTATTATTCCATTTTCCATTTTAGATACAATAATAAAAGGCCTTACACATCGTTTAAGGTATGAGATAACATGAGTAGGAGAACCGTCAAAGAAATCATGTCAAAACACAGACTGTCAACAATTGATAGAGCTAATTAACATTATTCAAATCTGCTATTACTGGAATTCACGGGCCGCAAAGTAAGATGTGGTATCAGATTTGTGCAAATTTGGTAATTCCAGAGATTGTAGGGTGCAGATTGAGCTTTAGGACTTGATCTCGATGGGAATCAAGGGGGTGCAGATTTCTCGTCAGCTGTCGGGAAGTTACAAGTTAGAGTGGTTATGGATATGACTTGTATTCTCTTGTGTCATTTCCTTGGCCGGAATGTTAATCCAATAAATGCCGAAAGAAAATATTTTTATTTAAGTCATTTCATTTTAATTAATGACCAGATTGATTTTCATTTCTTTATCGGATAAAGCTTGTTCAGCATGTAAGTATATGGAATAAAATGCGTGAATTGAAAAAATGTTCTGTCTATAAAAAGTAGCACATCATGGGCAGCATCAACACTGTATTTTCAAATGTGGTTGAATACATGTGTATATGGAGAAATAGATAATGCCATTCAACGGCGAATTCATGTTATTTTTAAATTTTTCCATCATCCTGTTTCAATAACTTCAGGATTTAGAGGAGCAAGATGAGGGTGCATCGAGCATCTACGATGCTACTTGGCTCGTTGGATGTCAAGGCGAAAACAGCTCAGATTTTCCATCAACTTATGCTTTCCAAGGCTCTGATTGCTCAAGAGCACAAAGGATTGTATTCAATACTTCCTATTGGTACCTTCTAAACTTTTCCTTCCAATAGTATTCCTTAGGGAGACTTACTGCGTTGGATGACTCCGAAGTTTTAGTGAAATCAAGGATATCTTGTCCTCTGCAATTTTTTTCCTCTCTAGAAAAGAAAGAATTAGGATGATTAGCTTGAGTCTTTATGCTCTGTAGCGATAGTTTTATAGAAATTGAAAACACATTAGATTTACCAGTCAAACTTTCCATCTTTTTTTTTTTGGTCAGCGCATCATTGATAAATTGGTAAAAGTGGTTGAAACTGAACTGAATGCCGTTGGCGCGCAAAAAATCAGTATGCCAATATTGGGTGCAAAAGAAATGTGGCAAAAAGCTGGTCGATGGAATGCTTTCGAATCAGAAATGTTTCATTTGAATGATAAAACGGGTCAAACTTTCTGCCTTCAACCAACTCATGAAGAAATGATAACAAAGTTGGTTGCCGAACAAGGTTATAGTTTCAGTATTTCGGGATGTCGAATTCCCCAGACCTTTAGTTTACATATTTCTGTTTTGCATTTTGAGACATTAATTTTTGCTTATATAAATAATATGACCTTTTTATCAAACTTATATACAATATCATTGAATATGCTTCTCACGGTGTAGAATGACAACGAAATTTGCTATCGTTTGGCTAATCTTTTTTGTGGAAGTTTCGATTGTCGTATAATGAATAGTCGAAATTGAATTAAAAATAAGTGTTATTGACTAAGAAACATTTTTCGTATATACTCCATATCATAATAATGAAACCGCTACAATACGTTTTCCTCTTAAATTAATGTATTGGGATGCTGATTAGATATATAAAAAGTAGACTGATCAATATTAATCAAGTTTGCAGAATATTCTTTCGTTGGAATTTCCTAAAACTGCTTTATAGCAGTGGATCACTTTATTTGTTTTTTTTTGTTTTTTATTTTATATTTGTAGGGGAACTCCCTTAGAGGTATTGAGATTTTGATGAGTTCATATTCCAGGTGAATTGAGACAATCTATCTATCCATTAATGCTTTATCAAACGGGGCCAAAATTTCGTGACGAGACCGTTGTTGGACATGGACTTCTTCGTAGTAGAGAATTTTTGATGAATGACTTGTATTCCTTTGATATAACGGCGAAGAGTGCCTCGGACACTTACAATCTCGTTAGTGAAGTAAGTATTTATTATTATGTAGGACTTGATATTGACAGCTTTTTAAAATGAATTAAAACTGAATTATTGTCAAAATGATCAAGGAGCGCACTATCTTTCTTTTCTCGACCAATAATTTAGGAATTTATCGTTTTGATCAATTCTATAAATAACAGAAATTAACTTTACCTATTTTGTATTTAAATTTTTCTTCACTTAGAACATTCCACGTATCATTTTCAGTGAAATTACAGTGCAGATAGGGAATATTTTACAGACGTATCGACGAATATTTCATGATCTTCTCGGCATTAATTTTTATATTGTTCGAGCCGATGCTGGAAACATTGGTGGTGATATGTCACACGAATATCATTTACCGTGTGGGACAGGCCGCGATAGTATTGCTTACTGCACAAAATGTAATTTAGGTTGGCTTTTTCCCTTATCTTCGATTCTATTGAAATTTAAATCAGTGGTGCTAGAATTTAAATTTTTTAGAAGTAGAACAACCTTCACTTCAAAGGGATAGGTCAACCTGATAGATGAGTTTTCACTTGAAAGAGTCAACTTGCATTTTGCAAAGTTTTTTCGGTGGACTTGAAAAAGATTTACTTAGTGAGTTTTGAGCTTCGGTTTTCTACAATGGGGAAGAAAAGGAGAAAAAATTTTTAATGCTCTGGGATGTAATTTACATGTTTTTTTAAAGTTCAGTGATTTTCGAAACTTTCCTCTAAAGACTCGAGCACACACGGCTCTTCTCGAACTTTACCATTCTCATTGTATAAAAGCCTCATCGTTAATAATTCTGTTGAAAGATTAATGACGATTTTTTTATTTCAGGTGTGAATCGTGATTTGTTGAAACGTGGTGAAAAGCCTTGCTGTTGTAGTCAAGAATGTATTTCGATTATTGAGACGATTGAAATAGCTCATACATTCCAACTGGGGCACCTTTTCAGCGAAAAATTTGGGGCAAAACATCGTGGACAATCATTGATAATGAACTGCTTTGGAATCGGCATTGGTAATAATTTATGATTATTTGAAATACTTTTTTTTATCTAGCGTTCGGTCTGCATGCATTGAGTACAACAGTTATATGGTGAAGTTATGTAAGAATGAAGAAAATTAAATAACCAAATCAGTTTGCTAGATAAGGATATCCGCTTTGTTTTATACTTGCTTTACTGCCTTGTGAAACTTTGCTGAATAATACAAACAGTAATGACACAGTTGCAGCAGTAGCCACTTTCAGGCCGTATGATAGCAGCCTTAATTAACTCAATGTCACCCAGTGTAAAAGCTCTTCGCTTACCGTATGCATTGACACCGTTTAAAATAGCTGTTATTCTGCCAAACAAAACTCAACCGGAAACGATCGCATTTGCTCAAAATGTTATTGATAGTCTCAGTCAGATATCATCTCTACGGGATGATATTTTTGTTGATGATCGATTGGATAATTCAATTGGAAGGCGACTACTTGCAGCTGCAAATCTAGGTCCAAATATTTTGAAATCTTAAAAAAGGATAAAATATCTTTACATAAAATAAATGGCTATTTGGGGTTAACAGCACGCAGCCCAGAATGCACTGGTATGGGATTCATGCATTCATTATACGATTTTACCTCAGCAGCATTTGGAATGTCGAATATAATGTTGAATGATATTAGGTAATGCAGTAATTTCTACTAACTTAGAATTTACTTTTAAATAAATATTTCAGTAAAATTAATAACATTTCTCTATCAATCCCAACGATTTCTTTTTCGTAGTAAATTGGAAGCTTGTCATGTATATTATTTTATCATTAAATTCAGGTATTCCTCACATATTGGTAATTGGAAATCGGACTACCCGGATGTTGAATACCAATCCAATTATGGAATATTATAAAACAAAAGCTCATAGTGATGAACTCATCAATGTTGGAGATCTTGAATACGCTGAAATTTCAAAACTAATTGCAAAACTGTAAAAATTTCAAAACTGTATTTGTTAAGATGTGCTAACAGTTTGTCGAAAAGCTTCTTTCATTTTTTGATATCTTAGTAGTAGATATAAACTTTTCTTCATAGAATTATACCAGTCCTGTTCAGAAATCAGCAAGAAGTTTAAGGTAACTGTTATGCACATTTCTTGTTGCATTTAAATTATTGTTCCATTGCAATAAAATTCTTTTTTCTTTCGTATTATTCCATCAAATTTTTATGCTGTGTCATAAAGTATTCCTATTATCCTTACAGATCTCTCACAATATTTCAGTGGTTATTTCAACTTCGAGATATTTCATTATCATTGATTTGTTTGGTATTAGTGATTGTGAGGAAGAAATTATGGGTGATTTTGTATTAAGAGAATCCACATAGTATCCAAATTGAACAATAATAAATTAATCAGTGAAACTTGCAAAAATGGATAGGATGAATGTGAGATGGCAGTTGATTAGATAAAATAATGATATTCAAGTCTTAACGATGAATTTTGTCATTTGTGTTGAGGGAGAAAAAAGGAGCAGTTAAGGGCAGAGGGGATATGATGGGATGCATGAGGAATCATTGGTTTTGGGACTGCAAGTGAAACTGTAAGTAGATTTACAGATTTATTCTGCTGGCTTGAATGCTTGATGGCTTTCAATTATTCTCATCAGCTGAGGCACACTCCTCATTTATAATCAAAATTTTTTGGAAAAGAATGAGTATAAAGAATCCATCGTCGATGCTTACTATTTCGAATAAAGTTCGAGGAATTACTGTTCTTACGGAGAATGAGAAGAAATTATTCAGGTCGGACCAATTGTTTATATAAAATTACTAGAATGTATTAGTTGTAGCATTAGGAACGATTTATAATGAATGATAGTTTGAGATCAATTTCACCTCCTAATAAGACAATTCTTTTTGTTATATGCAGTTACTCCTGAAATTCGAATTAATTTAGTCATGGTTATGTCAAGTTTTGCAATTTCATTTGGAAATTATTCCAATTAATAATCACTTTGAGAGTGTAATGGAAAACCTTCATGTAATTATACAAAAATCCGAACAGTTCTATTCATTAAGGTTCGTGTAAATATGGTTCGGATGTTTTTCTGATGTAAATTGCGGAAACGTTATAACCGAAAGATTTCATTTAAGAGATTTCATTAAAAAAGTGATGAGCAAAGAAAAGTCCAAAAGATTAGTAAAAAAATTAGATTCTCTGCATTTAAAATAGAGATAAATATTGCGTAAATTGGACAATACGTTTGGTGAGTTTTTCCAACAAAAAGTTTTCTTTCGCGTTGTTTCTCAAGTTAGGAAAAAGTCAAGTTAAGAAAATTCATGAAAAAAGTAATGAGCGAAGAATAATCTAAGAGACTAGTAAAAAAATTAGATTCTCTTCATTATATTTTCTTTTCATTCCAGCAAAGAAATCACATTACCGATTATAATTGTACCGCCGAAAATTATCAGTCGGTTAATTGGATGCAAAGAAATAGCAAATAGGACGGTAGAACGATTTTGTAATAAAATTAAGGTAATTTGTTTAATTACGAGTTTTTGATTCTTATTTCGAATGAAGTAATATTTTCATTTTTCTGTTTTTATTTTCGCATTTTCTCACTTTCAATTTTCAACCCTTATACTTCCCTCTTCGCTTTTCAACTTCTTAAACATTAATCTGTCTGTAAGGACTTTGATAAAGAATGATATAATTTGAGATATTAAGCTATATTTTTCGTTCCGAATATTTTAGCGTATAATTTTTAAAGTTTCGAAAGTTTTTTTGGTATATCTAGCACTGATATCATAACTATGATGTCGTTAAAGTCAGTCAATTGGGCTATATATTTATTCATTGCATGATCTCTATTCTTCATTGAATATACATGTATATTTGGTAGTAGAAATAGTTCAAATCCTTTAAAATTTTAGCCTGTCATTAGTATGCCAAAAGAAAACGAAAAAGCGATTGTATTTAGTCCCGAAAAAATGGACGACAACACAAGGAATGTTATTTTGAAAACTATAAAAAACTTGACGGGATTTACAGCCAGATTTGATTCTTACAATGTGGCCTTGAATTATGGTGATTGGCCTGTGAAATCATGTATTACTGCAATTTTACCGAAGGGACTCGAGTTCGGGTGTGTTTGGTTTATTCAACTAAAAATGTTCAATAATTTTTTTTGAGAGCTTCAAAATTTAGAAACTAATTGCCGGTACTTTCAGTGGTTTTTCTCAAATCGGTCATATTATCCACGTGAATTTACGAGAGGAGTTACTTTCGTACAAAAAAGTTATTGGGAAAATACTTCTTGACAAAGTCACCAACTGTAAGTATGTATTTTCATTTTATTCAGTACTGAAAATTCGAAATACCAAATTGTAGTCGCAGTGGATAAACAGCGAGATCGAGACATCCGAACTATTAAATTTTCAAAGTTAGAATATTGTATGTATTCTTGAATTTTGCATGTCTTCATTTGCTTTCTAACTTCTCACATAAAATTTTTTTTAATCTGCGAGGCTCTTGCTATCATTAAAAACTCTGCTTTTCCAGAACGGTTGTTAATAAGTTGGATGCAATCGGCCATAAATATCGTACATTTGAACTTGATTTGCTTGCTGGTGAAGAAAATTACGAGACTGAGGTGCATGAGGAAAAACTTCGTTATCAATTAGATTTTAGTCAGGTTATTTATTCGGCCTTAATTTTTTTTTCATTTGATGGAAAATTTGACTTTGTATGTTATTGTTCGTTTTCCAAAAGGACATACTAATTTTAATTTGTTTTTGTTTTACCATTCCATGCAAATATTTTATCAAAAGGTATGTGAACTTCTTTCAAATCAGTTATAGGTGTTTTATAACCCAAGATTGAGCACCGAGCATAAAAGAATAGTGCGAAAAATTGGCAAACAATCAATTTTTTACGATTGTTGTGCTGGTATCGGACCTTTCGTTTTACCGGTGATAAGAAATGGTGTTCATCATGTTTTAGCAAATGATCTAAATCCGGATTGTACTGATTACCTCAAGCGAAACATGAAGCTCAATCATGTCGGTTTTGCTCATTCCATTATTAATCATTTTTCATAGACTAATCGATTTTCTTTTTTCAATTTAAAAATTTATATTTAGCTATTATTTTGAATTACCTTTTAAAATTAATTTGCCAACTTTTTTTTCATTCCAAGGTTTCCAATTTTTTTTCGTTAGCGCGGCAGTTTCTTAGCTCTTTACAAGTTTTTCTTTCCATAAAATTATTCACTGTAAGTTTTAGTTATCATTCGAGCGGTTAAAATTATATAACATGGATGCATCCATGTTTATCAAGACTGTTCTCGTAGATGACCTGATATGTGAAGCAGAAAAGTACAATATCTCTGATTCTAAAAGTACTGTGTCGTTTTTCCATTAACTGATATGTATCTCCTTTTTTTCATCTTCTCTTTAGAAGTAAAACTTTCGCAGGAAATTTCGACTGCTTTTATTTTTGTTATATTTTCCAAAATTTTACTTTTGTTTTTCTCTACTTTCAGATAAGACTCCTACTGATGCACACGTTGTAATGAACTTGCCAGGCATGTCCTTACAGTTTCTTCCTTATTTTCGGGGATGTCTACATGATAAACCTAATTTGCTAGGTTAGTGAATGGTCACACTATGTGAAATTTCAATTTTTCCAGAACAAAAAATGATTTTACGATATTATGTTTTCTTGTAATTTTACTGCAGGCACTACCCTTCCATTTCCTTTCTACGTGCACTGCCATTTTTTTGTGAAAGCACCGGATGATCTGGAAGATAACTGGTACTTCGATGAGGCTCAAAATTTGATACTCAGGAGTCTTGGGTATGTTTCACCAGCAATGAAAGAAAACTTGTCATGTTTTTTCAAATTAATTGAATTTTACTTACTAAAATATTTTTATTTATTCATTTATTTAGATCCTAACAAAATCACAAAAAGGAATTTTCCATAGAAAGGAATTTGGATCACTGTGTTAGCTATTCAATTTTCAGTATCTCGAAGTTGAATTTCATTGAAGTACATCTTGTTCGAAGTGTTGCTGGGCGTAAGAAAATGTTTTGTGTCACATTTCAATTTCCTGACGAATTTCTGTTCTCTTTCGACGCTGAGGAACTAAAAGTTGGAGAAGCTAAACCAAGGAATTGGCAGAAGTAAAAGAATGCAGCGGTGGGAACAGTATCGAATTTGTTCTCAACGAACAGTTTGCGAAATGCAGATTGAAGAATTAGAATCTCAGCTAAAGAAAAACAATTTCGGTTGAAAGGATTTCATCAGTAATGTTTTTGAGGGCTACTGCCAATGTTTAAATAAAATCTGTTTTTATTTTTCGCATTCGTGCACTCTAAATCTTTTTGTTGTTGAAATTTTATCAAATTTGATTTTTTAAATGATTAGCCTTCGAGACATCTTAAAGCTTTCCATTTCTCCGTTACTGTAATATAAACCTAGTTTGTCGAATGATTTTCTCCCATGATACTTTTTTAAAAAAAAAAAAAACGAGATTATATAACATTTGAGAAACTAGTATATTTTAATTCGTAACTTCTATAGGAGTTTTATCTCAGACGTGAAAACATGAAACAATTGAGTCTCAATATTTCTACTCGCAGCATAGCAAAATTGCTAGATAAAATGAAAATGGAAAATTCGAAAATGATATGAATCATGTTAAGTTTAACTCAGTAATAAGTTTTTCAGCTAATGTTGTACCCCATTATTTATATTTTTACAGTGATCCATCGTTTATTGTTATGTTATTTTTTTTAAAGCACTGGAATTTAATAGTGTTTGTTTTGATATTAATGATGTTATCGGAATTGTGTGCAAGTTGGAGAATGCACTTATATCCTGTGGCTGAGCAATGGCAATTAAGAAATAAGATCATTTCGAAAAATTGGAGCAAAGATGCGCAACAAAATGAAATAAGGTCATCGAATGAAACTATACTAGCCTACTTGTTCTTTTCAAGTTAATATATTCTCAGTAATGAAATCTAATTCTTCATTTGATTAAGGTGGAGGTATCTGATATGTTAAACTTTCATGAATCCAAAGTAAAGTAATAAACAATCTGTTTATCCTGTTTGATGCATTTAATTTCACATATGCTCTCTTGTACACATTGTCGTATTAAATCAAATGAATGTAAGTGACATAGAAAGGGTAATTGAAATAAAATGTTAAAATTGAATGGAAAGTCGTCTTGGGATAATCCTGAACTCATTGATAGTTAAACATTTTTGTTACCTGTCAAGATTTGTTTGAAAATTACAATATTTCCGAAGGATTTATTATGTAGTTGAATGGCGCACCTTTTGATCTGTTTAGTAATCATTTGTTTTACATCATTCAGATAGAATTTATTACGCAACTATGGGAAGATTTATACCAGCATTATCATGCAGATTTTCATCCGTATTTGGAATGGATATTTCATTACGGTCGTTAAAACCCTTCACCATGCAAATTCCATCAGTCAGAAATCTTCATGTCAAAAAATTACTTGCTGATAAGTTTTCAAACAGGTAGCTTGACTAACTTTTGCCTGTTTCATCTTTTTGGTAGTGGTTCATTAGCTGAGATTCTCGCTTTAATATAGAAAGAGGATTTGATATATAGCATAATTAATTGAAATATACCTGTGTTTATTGAAAATAAATTTTCTTTTATTGCGATAATTCAAAACCCAATTTAGTTGGATATGAATTTTATAGACTTCCAGATAGGTCAGTTGTCTACCAATAAAATAGTAATTTGAAATTACTGGAAGGGTGTAATTAAATTAATTGTTTGAACTGAATTTAGATTCCGGGTTGATCGTGTGATGTATTTTGGCCCCGAGTTAGCTTGCTTAGAATGGTTAATGGAATGTGGCTCTACTGAGGTACCATTGATTTCTTTTCATTGCATCCTCTTGAAAAGATAGAACAATAATTAATGTGGTGAAAGTGTGGCATACAAATATGTTATTTTATATCATACCTTACCTTATAATTCTGTAATTGTCCATTTCATATTATGTCATTTCATTTTTGTTGTTTCATTTCATTTAGAACAAAGAAGGCGACCTTAAAGACTATAAATTCTATTAAATGTTTTTGTCTCAATCTGGGTGATAAATTTACCTTCCAGGTTATAATGAGTGATGGGACATCAATCTCTTGCAGAGCAGATATGCGTCGTTATATCAGTGATTTTGGTTTCAATTTTAGAAGCATTGTAAGATTTAAAACATGATAAATTTTTTTGTTTCATTACACTTAGAACAAAAGAGGCTACCTTAAAGGCTATAAATTCTGTTGAATGTTAGCTTGCTTAGAATAGTTAATGGAATGTGGCTCTACTAGGTACCATTGATTTCTTTTCATTGCATCCTCTTAAAAAGATAGAACAACAATTAATGTTTCATCTGAACCAAAATTACATTTCTAAAATTTTCTAATCTTTAGCCGATTCCTGCGATTTCCTTTAAATGGAGTCCGGTATTGCCAACAGTTAGTATGAAAAAACTTGATGCGATTTATGAAATGCGATGGGCTAAGAAGCCGAACATATATGTTGTTAAGGTCAGCTCGTAAATTAATATTTACTATTGTGGTAACATTTTCTTTGCTTCATAAACATATGACTTTTAAGTTTAAAAATTTGATTCTTTAATTTTAATTTCCAGGAAAATTTATGAATTCATCAATTTTATGTGTGAGACCAGTTTTCAGTAAAAATAATTTTACATTTATTCTGTTTCAAAATTTTGTTCAGGTCGACGCGACTGATGCAGCTATTGGTGATGCAGGCTTTCAGTATTTCAAAGAGTGCCGAAAAATAGAAATTTTGAAATTGAATTTTTGTGACTTCTTCACTGACAAAGCAATTGAATATCTTGTTTCGGGACGACCTTCACGAACATTGCGGAACATCGTTTGTTTCTAATGTTATTTATATACTTCATAGAACAAGTTTCACAATATTTTCAACATATAATTTAATTAGAAGAAATAGTTATTATGAGTCGGAGTACAAAATATGAAGTGAAAAGATGGAATTATTCAGATCAGGGGATAGGTTTTTAGGAGATTGTTGCAAATCCTTACATCAGTGATAATTTCATCAAGGAGATTAAACGAATACGCGGATTGCAGCGGGCACATTTTTACTTTCTGCCAAGCGTAGCAAAACGAACAAATGCAGTACAAAGTTTGAAGCTCTCCCTGCCATTTTGTAGAGTTAGTTTTCCGGAACTAAAAGAAGTCGGTTATGGATATGGTTGTACTGTCGAAGACAAAAATGTAAGGTAAGTATTACCCTCATCCTATTGTTCAATTACTGCAGTATATTTCATTTTGAAAAATAGATATGTTACATTGCGCAAAAAAATTCCATATCTCAAACTCGTCTCAATTTTAAGATGTCATACTTTTTAAATTCGTTTTGTAAGCAAATAATAAGTTATCTAGTTATTCAAGACTAACAAGAGATTGACCAATTTTATGCGATTTTCAGTGTCTGTAAAACCGAAGCAACAAGAAGATAATTCGTCAATTAGGCTTCTAACTTTCACTATACACCTAATTGTTTCGACAAAGTTTTGTAATTATTGTATAAATTTCAGACTATGATTTCCTTTTCTGATTGAAAATCATCAGTGATGAAAACGGAAAAAATTTTATGTTTATTGAGAGAAATTTCGGCACTATTTGCCCTACTCATTTTATTTAAAAAAGGAAGATTTTAAGAAAAAACAGGAAAATGCTCATGGAAGAATGACAGGATGGATAACATGCCACTCCGAATGGTCTACAAAGATTGGCTGAAGGAAAACAAATAGGTTCCAAATGGATGTTTGTCCATTTCTAAATGTTATTTTCACGAGAAATTGAAATTTCGAATTTTCTAAAACTAAATTCTTAGCATTAACCAGTTTTCAGTGTGTGGTTGGTTCTCTAATTACTAAGAACTTTTTAAAGATTGCACAAATATTCTTAAGGACAATTTTTCCCTGAATTGATGCGTTAAACTTCATGAAAAAAAGGAAGTTGTGATATGTATATAAATTACCTATGCTTTACTACATTGAAATACAAATAAAAGATTCAAGGAAAAGAGGCTTATCGTTCCATTCAATATTTCCTAACAACAAAAAGCTTTATACCGAACAGTATTTAATTATCCGGCTAAGAAATTTTCTATAATGCTTATTATCAAGTTGAATAATTTGATTTAAAAAATGACGGCAAGTATTAATTGTTATTCTTATTTTATATTTTGTCTAATATCAGTTTAGCTGTATCTTGAAATATTTGAAAGATTTGATGAGTGAGTGAAAGCATAATTTCCCCTCTCAAATAATCCTCCCTAGTTTTTATTTGTTTAAATTATCTTGTTTTTAAAATATAACTAATATGTGGTCTTTATAAAAGTTAAATCACATATGAAAAGTTATACGTTGAGAGAAAGGAATGCTTAAAATGGCGATATCCCAACCTGATATCTACAACGAAAAGTCACGGATCGGGTCAATAGGATTTAATATGGAATATTATGTATTTCTCCTTCTTATTGAGAAATAATTTCAAAAGTTCTTTTAAAAATTTTCATCACTGTGTTTCAAAGCTATTGCGAAATAAGAATTAATTTCATTGCGAAATAAGAATTAATTTCATTGCGAAATAAGAATTAATTTCATTACGAAATAGGAATTTCAAATTTGCTGCGAGATAAGAATTAGTTTAGCATGAAATAAATATATCGTAATGTTCTTATTTTGTTCTAAGAGAGAACATTCATTAATTAATTAAATATTATTCAATAAATATTTGCGAAAATTTTCACCTTTTTTATAGTTTCTGCGAAATTTTGCAGTTTTTGCAATTTTATCGCTTTTTCCGTTGAATTAACGCAATACTATTGCCTAACTAATTTTTGCGGAAATGTTGCCAGGAGGATTGCTTCTTTATTACCACATCAATCGATAATTTTCAACAACTCTATTCATGCCTATAGCCTTAAAAATACTTTTACGAATTGCCTCATTTTGTTGGTAATGTTTTTTTGTTGAAAATTCATTTTGCAATAATAGTTGCTGTAGTTGCTTCTCGGAGGAAAACGGCGGTATCATTCAATGCTTTAGGTTATTACCTTTCCTATCGATATATTTTTACAAAGTTGAAAAAGAGATTTTTCTATGATTGAAATCCATTCCATATTTATATTTCTTTTACATTTCTATGAGATTTTTGTAAGGTTTAAACAATATTTGATCTAAGATTAAATTAAATTCTCTTCGTTTCTAATCATATTTGTTCAGCGTGATGATGTATTTGATGCTCCTGTAATATCCTGCGGGATGTTTTATATATTTAAGTGGATAATGTTGAAGGTAGAAGAAGCGGTATAAAGTGGATTATGTTTAAGGTAGAAGAAGCGGTAAGCGATTTTAGCTTGAAGTTGAAATATTTGAAAGATGCTAGAAGATGCGATCGAAAATTAAGGAGTAAATTAACTGTGATAAAATAAATTAAATAGAATGGACTTTAACGTCGAAATGGTTTAGTAAAAATCGCTTTGTAAGTAAAACAAACTTATAAATAAATAATGATGCATATATTTGTGTTATCAAAAAGAATGGATGATATTGAAGATATTGTTGTATTTTTATTTTGCAACAAATTTACATAGAAAGTTACTAATTCATTCTTTCCAAAAATTTTCAGCTCAAATCAGAAATTCACTAATCTGAACTTTCTAAATTTTCTTATAAAGTAAAAAAAAAGATTTGAGTCTAAAAAAAATTGGAAATACTTCAAAAGCGTTAAAATATTTTTCAAAACATTAGGGCATTATGCAAAGGTTCAATTTATTGGGTAATACTAAAATTGAAAATTCGAAATATTATTCGAAAATCAAGAAATATATTTGTTATTAAAGACCGATGAGCTGTCAATAGAAGCACTTCTTTTTGTTGTAAGTGAAAAATGGATAGGATGAGAATTGATTTTTCTTTAAATGATTCGCTGAAAATGTCATTCATTTAATGAATATTAAATTTATTTAAGTCCGTTAATTAATTCAATTATCGATGATTGATAATTAAAAAAGGAAAAAGGAAAGGTGTACAAATAATGGAGAAATGAAAAGTGTCTGTCATTATTTCTCATTTATTTCCAGCAAAAATTTCTCTCTTTCTCTAATTGATTCTATAATAGCAACAAAATGTTATATTATTTAATGTGAAGATATAGAAGAAATATCAAGTAATGAATGATTGAAGTACTTCATTTTTCGTGAATTGATTGGCCCTTGCAGATAATGCGCATTTGTATCTAAACTTTTGCGCCTAATTGCCAGACTAATGACTGGATAATATTTACTGCTAAAGAAAGAACTGATCAAGCGGTTGAATTTTTAAATGATATGAATAAGTAATGATATATGTAAATATCATCAATATTTGTTATGTTATTTAAAAGAAATTTAAAATTAAACAGAAAATGAAATAAAAGAAATTTAAAATTAAACACAAAATGACTAATCCATATGGTACTTGAATGAATCAGTTAGTCATCATCCATAAGGAATTATTAAAATGGCTATATATATATATATATCGATAGAAGAATAGCATTTAGCCAAAGTAACGTAATGCTTATCGATGGTTCTAATGCGCCTAACTAAGCCTTCTTCTTTTCCCCGAAGAGCCAAATAAGTAAAGCAATCATTTTTCGATCGTACGGAAGAGTGAAATGAATGAATCATGGCATGAAACGAATGAGTAGAATGGATGTATTGGTAGCAGCATGTATCATCCCATACCTTGAGATCGATAGACGTTGGCTCAACCATTAAATCAATGCTGCAATGCTTATTGTCCACTTCATGTCCATCTCTCAATTTCCACCTATCATAACGAGATAACGTATAATAACGTCGATATGTTTTATTCATCTTCTAATTGCTATTACTTTCAATTCAACGGATAAAAGAAATTCGAAATGAAATTGATCTGGTAAATTATTTTCTAAAAATTAGATTGACGTACTTAAATATCATAAGAATATTTGATGTTGCAGAGTTTTTCTTTTTCTTTGAAACAGAAATAATACCGAAATTGCTGCCAGTATTTTAATTTCTGAATAATAAATAAATTTTAATTTTTACGAATCATTCATTCTTTGAAGATATATCCTGATTGTTTTCTAATAATGCATTTTTGAATAATTGATCGATCTTTTCAATTTTTTTTGAAATCGATCCTTCGGGACAGTTTGTTTATTCGTTTTGATTAGCGTCTATTTTTGATTTAACATTTCTTTCAATTTCATAATTTTTTATTAGAACTTTTGATATCATTTCAAATATATTAACAAAGTTGAGAGATAAGTTAATAAAACATCATAATATATAGAATTTGAGATTATCAGTGAGACTTTTATCATTTCAAAAGTTTGATATTTTTGTGTGCTTCGAGCAGTGATAACATACCTTTAACAACTTACCTTATGATCAAATTAAGAAAAAAATCTTGCGATAAGTCTAGATCTTAAAAGATCTTAGAGCATTAACCCATTCTCAATCAAATCTTTTAAGATTTATTTCTTTTTTCTTTTAATTGAAACTGATCATTTCAAATGAAACTTATATATCAAAGAGGTAAATGAGCAAATTCCCGATCATATGATATACCTAACAGCCAAGTCATTTTTTTGAATTATGCACTTCAGAGAAATATTGATAAAATTTTGCACAGTTTGAAAAATTTTCAAATAAGTCTCCTTTTGCTGTTCACATCAGCTCCAAGTAAACACCATATTAGCATTATGAAAAGCATAATCACCTTAAAGGTGAGCAATTAAAAGGAAATAGTGATGATAAGTATTGAATTTCGAAAATGTAAAAAACATTTACATAGGTAGAGATATATCAAAAAACACTTCAACAACATGTTTGTTATCGATGGTATGATGGTGATAATGATGATACATGCCTATAAATACTGTTCGTTAACAAATCATAAGTGCACAATGCTTTTGTACATTTTTCATAATATTTATTTTGGTTTGCTTCAAGCTGTCTAAAGTCAGTGGAAATTTGACAGTTACATTGTGCAAGTGTGTAGTCATTTTTTCCTCTTCTTCCTTTCACAATTTTTAATAATTATTGTTGAATTTTTAATGATCAATGATTTCTTTTTGTAATTTTTGATTAAGAGAATTTTAATTCGAATTATTTTAGAAACAATAGAGGAAAAGATTCTTTAGCATATTTTATTTATATCTAACTATAATGCACTTCATTTTTATTGATCTTTTGTTGAAGATAATAGGCTGAAATTTTTTAGTGCTAAAATAGAAGGATTTAGTGATATCATTCCTTATCGGACAATACTTAACATGATAATATTTATGTGGAGAAGCAGACAATAGTGATAGTCTCTTTTAAAGGTTGGAATTGATTTTAAATGTTATTAATAGTTTTTTCATCACATTGTTGGTTTTCATCTGTATTACAGTAGATTAGATTGTTTTTGTTAAATGGTAAATATGGTGATAGTTACCTGCTACTTGCATCTTTCAGTTTCTATTCATTTTTACCTTTCCTGATCCAGTTATTATGGTCATCAGTTTTGTTAAATTATTAAGTGTGAATCAATAATGGATCATTACTGGTCGTACAGATAATCAAAATGTGGTTTGTTGATATCATCTTCACCGTATTGTTGGCTAAACTATTCCAAAGAGCACAACTGTTTATTACAGATGGTATTCCGGAAAAATTGAAAGCTGCAGTAATGTGCCTCAAACGAAAACTGAGACGGTATAATTGCTGTATTTCCTTCATCAAGAATTCACTTTTCCGGCATATCTTGAAGCTTAATTTTGGAGTATACTAACATGACGAATTAAATATTCCTGATATCTTTATTAGTCAGACCTTTATCTTGAATCAAAATGTTTTGAAACTATATTGCATGATTTTATCATCAGACAAATTCTGAAACAAAACTGTCATGCCCTATCTTTTTGCAAAATATCTAACTGTATTGGGTTAAATGGATCGTTTGTGAGGCCTAACATTACAACTTATTGATGTCTTGATTCTTGAAATAGAAATAATAAATCATATTCTTGGGTTCTTTACAAAGGCTTAGAATTACTGAGATACTATCCAGTCGATAGAAATTCAAAAAAGGAAGGAAAACAAGAAAATAAATCTTATCATTGTATGCTACTTTTTCACAAATTATTCACCACACTTGTTCTAAAATTAAAAAGAGACTTCAAAAATGGTTAAGAGAACGTTTATCTTTCCTGAAATAATCATGAATATTATTGATTATTCTTATGTTTATTGTTATTATCATTAGAATGGAATAGATATCATTCATAAAAATTTCGAATAAATCTTTAAATCAAAGACTTCAAATTTTGTTGCTAGCCGAAGAATTAAGAATAGTCATGCTATCTGAATTTTTAATGCTTTGTCATTTTCATTACAGTTCCATCATTTTTAAATAAATTTAATTTTAAAATAAGGCTCCCCGTTTTCTACGATATTTGTTTATTTAGCTGCTTAAAAGAATCATAGATAGTTTCTATGCGATTGTGCTATATACACACACATATATATACATAACAAAAATTTGAGAAGAGAGCATTATTGTACTTTCATCTTGACAATATCAAATATTCTGATTAGAACCATTGCCAAGATTATTTAGAATTAGGCTTTAGATTAATATCATGATTAAAATCATGATTCTATGAGAAACAAAAATTATTCATCGTCTCTTTTCAAACAATTGCTTTACATTCATTCTCAGCACTGCCGCTGCAGCACAATTTTTTATTAATTTCAAAATTTAAATACATCTTTGCATTTTTGTTCAGAGATAATTATTCTTTAAAAATATGATGGAAATTTCATTGGCAAAGAAATGAAGAGTTTTAAAAAATTACTTAAATCTCATTCATTTTTTTGAACAATTCTTTTATCCATAATTTCACATTCTAAAAATCAAATTTACCAATTTTAGTGCAACAAAGAAAGGTACGAAAAATTCATCAAGCCTTTCCAATCAGAACAATACCATTCCACTCCATGATAAACCTGCATCTCACTATCAGTCACTATCAGCTGATATCAGTACGAATAATTTAAATGAAACCATTTCTGCTTTAATCGTACATTCAACTGTTCATGGTTGGTTCATTCTGCTTTCTTTTTTTTTTAAATTTTAATTTTGTTTAAATTACCGTTAAATTTTTGATAATAATTAGTTCCTTTCTAAGAATTTATATTAGGTTGAAGTTGTCAAAATATGAATTTGTATGAAAGAGAAAAGAGAATGAATTAGTTACTTCAAAACTTTAAGGATTTATAATTGTTAACAGCGAAAAGATTTCAATTCAATCATAAATTTTTCTCTACTGAATAATTTTTTAACTCTTTAATTTTCATTAAATTTATATCATAATTTACTATAAATTTATATATTATAAAATAAACTCATATATATGTATGAATGATTGAATGGATCGATTCTTTGGCTTTGGCAGAATAGATGTCAACACAGCCGAAGAAGAAAAAAGGATCGGGAAACCTGTTTGAAGAATAAAAATTGATGTTTCATTGTGGAAGGAATTCGTCTATGAGAACAAAATTAATGTTTCGGGTTGCAGCGATTGACGATAGGGGTAATAGGTCGACAGACTGCGACAGTCTCTCCTCATATCATGCAATAGGACAGGTGAGCTGAGGAGAAGGATGGTGCCAGCCTCGCTCACTTTTCTCCTTTCAGAACAATACTTGATCATTTTCTCCCTCTCACTACTACTATCTAATTGTCATCATATTTTGTTTATATGATTCACCGGAAAATGATAAGATGATTTGAATTATGACTTTCGTTTAGTGATTAAAACCTGAGAACTGATAAGATGATCTGATTAGTGATAGAGTATTGTTAGATACTATAAATTAGAAAATAATATAGCTGTCAAAAAATTGAGCCCAATAAAATCACATACTTTACAATAATAGGAATAAAAGTGATGATCAAATGATGGAATTGAAAAGGGAGAATGATAGGAGAGGAGAGGATTTATCCGATCTCTCTTCTCATACATTTTAAACTATAAACTGATTCAATAATTATGATGTTTTGATTCGGACTCCTTGATATCAATGATATCTATTCAATACTTTTTTTCATTGGCAAAAATTTACAATTATTATTTTTAATTAGTTGCTTTCCAAATTAATTTTAATTTCACTTTTCAACATAACAAATTTGATTCTTTCTTCAGTTATTCATTTCTATTTTTTGAATTAAAATTTCGTTTTAATTGTTATTCTTCTTTTATTCATTGTTTATATAAAAAATCTCCGACAATTCTTTGAATCTCTAAAAGCCTTTTAGCTTCTGTTAATAATAACTGGATATACCTTGTTTTACAGGTTATGAAACAATGATTGTAAAGTCGAAGTTAGCTCGGATGGTATCTGATGAAAATTGTGGAAGCTATAAAATAGATGTAAGTCAGCATGCATCATCAACACCACTTCCAACATGCATTATCGCAGATAGCGTCGTTAATGGAGGTAAATTATGCTGTATTTGTTTTATTCGTCTATTTCAGAATACCACTCAAAAAAGACGCATTTGACATCTAAACTTCTATTCATTCTTGCTTGCATTATTATTTGCTATGCTAAATATTTTGTGATAATCAATTAGAAATATTCAAATAGCAAATAATCGGAAGATTTATCAATTTTCATAGGTTAACAATTTTATCAAGATAGGTGATCAATATCATGTCTTTCATATGATCTGGCGGCTTTTGCAATGATTATATTTCAAAAGACTTAAAAATGATAGAAACATATAATAGCGCTCATGAATTCCATAAAGAATTTTTCCAACGATCATTTGGAAGGATTATTTATTTATATGGCAGTTAATTCCTTATCATCTATAATTACTTAAATTCAAGAAAAAAAGGGAGTTAAAATTTTCAGAAATATCAGTTACCAACACAATGACATTAGCGCCTGACATGGAACCAGTTGGAGTTAGCAGCAATTTTCAGAATCTTGCATCCAGTAATATGTCTACCATCGATAGTTTGTACAGAGGACTCTTCTCCTGCTTCAAACCAATGTGGACCTATTTCGGACGATCAGCCGAATCATTGCAAGCATTCCATAATATTTTATCAATTTCCTTTTTCCTATTTTCGTGAAATATTATTATTTCAGACGATTGCAGCATCTGTCTAATATTATAATCACTGTAATTTTCGTTAATTTATTTCAGTAACTATATTTTATAGTCTTTGTTCAAAACATGATAATAATGTTGGCATGAATAATTTTTGCTTAATTTCAGATCAAATGGAATAATCAAGTCAAACATAACTTATTCGGATGATAATTGGGAAATACCATTTGAAACAATAACTCATTTGGAATGGCTTGGTTCAGGATCACAGGGGGCTGTATTTAGTGGTCAATTGAATGATCGTTTAGTTGCGGTGAAAAAAGTAAAAGATAAATCGGAAACGGAAATTAAACATTTACAGCATCTTAATCATGAAAATCTCATCAAATTCATGTAATTTTCATTCATTTCATTTTAATTTTCCTTCTTGAATATGAAAATGCCATATTAAATTAGCTATACTTGATATGATACTGCCAAATGTAAATAATAAATAGAAAATGTTGAAGTAATGGACTTCAGATGGCAATTTATCATTTTATTTTCAGAGGCGTTTGTACTCAGTCACCGTGTTTTTGCATAGTAATGGAATATTGTGGTCAGGGACAACTTTATGAAGTAATTCGTGGTGGTCATCACATTGTAAAAGATACATTTGGTGAATGGGCTCGTCAAATTGCTGATGGAATGAATTATTTGCATCAGAAACATATCATACATCGCGATCTCAAATCACCTAAGTTAGTTGTTGGCATATTTACAAGTAATTGATCTTAATCAATTACTTATTTACTTATCCATGCTTATGAAGAATTTTTCAAACTTTCAATATTTTTCGCTTTTGAAAATTCACATTAAATTTCTTACCATTAAAAAGGTATAAATGGAAAATTCGGTATACAATTTTTGGGGTTTAATTTTCAGGTTTACTACTGCTAATTGACAGTAAGAATAGATTAGTTTGTTGAGTTTAATTGTTTCTACTAGTAAACAACAACAATTATCATATTCTTTAATAAATATGAACAAAAAATTTCTTTTTTCTTCAATGAATGAATTGATGCTGAAATTTTGATGATTTTCAGTATTTTGGTTGATGACAGCGATGTATTAAAAATTTGCGATTTTGGTACATCACATCAATGGGATAAGGAAAAGAGTACGGTTATGTCATTTTGTGGTACTGCTGCTTGGATGGCGCCTGAAATTATCAAGAAAGAACCATGCTCCGAAAAAGTATTGAATTTAAGATTCTTCAATACAAATTTTATTTTAAATTTTATGAAATTTAATAGCGATAGTGTAACATCGTTTTCCCGAGTTCTATAACGATCGCTTGCATCTATCATTTCAATTGCGCCTGAATTCTAAATATGCAAGATAAAAAACAGGTCGATATCTGGAGCTTTGGTGTTGTATTATGGGAATTGCTGACACAAGAAATTCCATACAAAGATGTCGATTCAATGGCAATTATTTGGGGTGTTGGATCAAAGTAAGCTTTTGCACAGTTTTTAGATGAATTGCTTTCCAGGCTTAATATTTCACAAAATTTTGCATAAATCAGAACTTTGTTTCAGTAATTTGAGCCTACCAATACCAGATACCGCCCCCGAAGGATTGAAATTGCTGCTGAAACAGTGTTGGAGTATCAAACCACAGAATCGTCCTTCTTTCTCGCAAATTTTAAAACATATCGCAGTTTTCAAGGTAATATTTAAACTATCCTTCAGAAAAATAAAACAGTAAAATCAGAGAGGGTCAGTGATAAAAAAAGGTGGGCAGTAAGGAAGTTTGCTTTGGAGCACAGACAAAAAGGAAAAAGTTTTAAGGGACCTTAAAAAACTTCGAAAACATTAAAGGATTTGTTGAAATCATTATTCTTCGACTTAATAAGTATTTATCAGAATTTTGATAAATGATTCGAAATTTCAATAAAACTTTCATTTCAGTCTGAAATTGCAAATATTAGCGATGAACAATGGCTAGAAAAAAAGGCAGACTGGAAAGCGTACGTTATTGAATATATGAAAGGAATCCGGCAAGAGAAACCGATGGCGCAAAAGAAAGATGCGCTTAACGGTAAATATTATTGATCTTTATGGAACGGATCTAAGAACAATATTTAGATGACATTTTTTGTGAAAGAATAAATTTGAGATGAAAAATTTTACGAATAATTCAATAACCTTTTTTGCTTGATATAGGAAGCGCAGATTATTTTCTTTTTTTCAAATTTTAAATTGATTTTAATTTTTGCAATTTCATTTACTCTGTTATTTACAGAATTAAAAACTGTTTTATTAAAAAGATTTCATTATATTTAAAATTTTAAAATTGAAAAGTTTCAGAACGTGAATTACTTCGAATGAGACGTGAAGAATTAAAACATGCGCAAGATATTCGAGAAATGTATGAAGATAAGCTAAGACGAGCGAGTAAAATTTATACAAAATTGGAGCAATGTCTTGATGACTTGGCAGTTCGTGAACGGGTATAATCATACACTTTTTTTTAAAGATCGTTTTGGTTTTAGTTCAACAATATCTTATTAATTAGACCTTTATTATCATTATTATTATCATCCATCATTATTTATTATTATCTTCTATTATCATTATCAGTCATTATCATTATTATTGTTATTATCCATTATTATTTGTTATTATTATTCATTATTATTATTTATTATTATTTGTTATTACTATTATTTATTATTATTATTCATTATTATTGTTGCTATTCATTCTAGGAACTGTTTGAACGTGAACGACACATTAGTGAACGTGAGAAATATGCTTATAATATGCGTACCAAGAGTAATATTTTTCAAGCAAAAGGAACGTCCAGAATTCTTAAAAATACAGTCATGCGTGTGCAACCTGAATCAAGCGATATTGCAGGTGTGACAAAACAAAGGTATGGAAATTATATCTTTTTACTGTGTCTATTTAACATCAAATTAATTCTGGCCGATGCTAATAATCTCTTAATCAACTATTCATTTAATTGCTTCTCATTTCTGCCTAATTCTGGATCGGTCTGACAGTTGAATTTCTCTTTTTTTAAGGACCGGTTGAATGATACGATGAAGTCTTTTATTGGTTCTGCAAATCCTAAATTTTCGCTAATATTTTCATTTCTTCTTGACTAGCATAAACTAATCTATCTGATATATCAGAGCAGTCATTTGACCGAAATTGGTAGTTCTTCCAAATTTAATTTTTGTCAAAAGCTTTCTTAAAATTTCAGCAATAATACTTCCGATTCAATCCAGGGCTTATCATATGAAGAACAAGATGAAATATCTTCGGAAGACGAATACCGCTCTGAATGCATATACCGCGATTCATCAGCAAGATGTTCTGCTAGTAGTATGACGTAAGTTTACTATTACTTTATTTGACTGATATGCGTGCATTACTATCATATTAAAAATACCAGAATTGTAGAATTAGTAAATATTTCATTGATAATTAGTAAAATCGGAATGAAGGATTGAATGAATTCCTGTAAACTGTATGCCACTAAAACTTTGCATCATGATATCTGCCATAGAGATTTCCCTGAATACTTTAACAGTTTTTAAATTGATAATAATTTAGAACGAGTGGAGCTTTTCCATCATCTCAATCATTGACATTTAGTCGACAAAGTTCCGGTCGCGGTTCATCAGGATACAATCGAGAACCAAATAAAACTTCACCTAAACGAATGCTAACTTCAAGTTCAGGTACAAATCGGAAAAATTAGAATGTGCACCTTGCTTTTATTTCAAATTAGATTTTCAACAAAATGCTTTTATTTCAAATTAGATTTTCAACAAAATGCAAACCAGACTGCTGCTACCATTATACCACGCGGAAATAGAAACTATAATGTGAAATTGAACGAAAAGACCGTAAGAGGCTTCACCAATGTTTGTGTGGAATATTGAAATACTGAATGCAAGTTTGTTTGCAGAGCGTAATTTCTCACGAGATTCATCGACTCGACTATCTAATTATTTTCACAACAATCAATCTGGACTTGCTCGTGGATCTTCCGCTCGAAATTCCGGTATTTCCGAGGCTTCTTGTGACTCCGGTTTCCATAATTTATATGACATCGATATTTCATCTGGAGCTTCAGCAAATACATTGGTGTATGAATGTAGTTTTTGTGGACAACCGGTGAGTAGTTGGAAATCATTAATTAAATAAGAGTTTCAAAAGTACGGTTGAAAAACAATAAAATGTTCTCGATAACTTGTGGTATATTTTCAGTTCTACGCATTTTTTGGTATTTTCCCTTAGCAGAGGTTAAGCTAACTTCAGCAAGAAATTACCTTTCAAGCATTTTGCTTCCAGATCATCCCAACGAATTTTTATCGAAATGCAGAGGGACGTTGGTCGGATGGGCATTTGACATTACGCAAAAGGAGAAATAAGAAAAGTACGATAATTTCATGTCGAGATTCACTGCAACCAATGACCCCCGGTAATAAGTAGGTCATGGACCATTAGGAAGTAAAATGGGAAAACTTGAAATGATTGCAAGCGACTTTTACAGATTACAAGAATTTTTTACTTTATTGTCTTTTCTTTTGAAAAACTGATTGATAGAAACTACGATGTGGAAGTAATTTTTTACATGGAAAAAGTTAGAATAACTCTGAAATTTGAACAACTAAACCAGTTGATATCCTTTCTTATCTTCACCTTCCAAAATTTCTTCCATCATTTCCAGTATCTACAAAAGAGAGACGTTCATCACATACACGATCACGTCAATCACTGGCAGAATTCACATTGGTCAATGATAGAGCAACAAAAAAAACTTCGTCATGCGAAATAAACGATAAAACATCTGTTAATTTACAAAATAAAATTATCAGGTATGAAATTATGTCTCGTCGAAAAAACGGTTTCTCAAAATAAATTTCTTTTTCGATTTCTTTTTTCCATCTTAAATACTTTCAGCAGTATTTGTAGGAATTTGCCACATAAAATGAGATGCAGATCCTTGAAAGAATAAGATTCTAAAATAATTTTTATTTGAGATGAAAATTTGAGACTAGCAAAAAATGATCGCAGCATAGACATGGCTCTGGTTTTTTAATTTAAATTTCTATTCCTCGTATTATCTCTTTTTCCAGTTGCTCGACCATAAAAAAATCACAAGAAGCGGAAATGGTTGTGAATGAAGAATGCAACACGACCGTATGTTTAATCATCCTTCATTACGATAGATCTGAAGAAAACTGCATTTACTTTTCTAATCGTATCTTCAGATTCTACCATCAACAAGTTATCAAGAGATTGTAAAAGAGAATCATTTATTGATATCATCAAATAAGCAGTTGGTATGTGATAACGAAAAGACACGTGGAAGGAATGATAAACCAATGAAAGAAGCTTTTGATGCTTCTGCAGAAGAAAGTTCTGAAGAGCGAGATGAAAATAATGGGTGACTGTCAAATTCTTCATTAAACTATAAATTATTCATGAAATGAAAGAGAAGTGAATATTCATGGTAGTTCTTCATTTTTAGGAATATTTTGGATTCATCGCTCGATTCGCCAATTACCTCTCATGTAGTTTTTCGGAAATTTAGAAATCGACAGAGCGCAAATGATAGTGAAAGGTTAATTAGCTAAATATTTTCTAAAAAAGTTCTCAGAATCACTGAAAATTTTGCAGTGCCAAGTTGACTAAGTAAAATAGCTTAATGACTGACTTTTAAACAACTTTTATGAAGTATCTTTGTGATAACATGCATAATAAGCTTAGTTAACTTAATGGCTGACTTTTGAACTACTTTTATAAATTATCTCTGTAATAACATGCATAGTAAGCTTATTAATATTAGCTAGTTAAAATAACAATGATGAGATAGTTATTTTATTCAGGTCAAGTTGTCTACTGATTACTTCCTCTTCAACAATGGAATCATCATTGGAACGAAGTTTAGAAATGGCTGCCATACATTCCGATGGTCTTTCTGACAAAGAACGACAAGTTCGTGCTGTTAAAAATACAATCCGAACACATCGTAGGACAGCAAGTGTAAGTTCAACTTTGTTGATAGAAACATTTTTAACTCAGGTTAACCCTCCCTCTTCCTTAAACAGTTAAACATTCTGAGTAAAGTTAAAATGACATTTCTTACATTACTATTGCCTGGTCGGGATGATATACCAGAGAATTTGTTAACTTAAAAGGTGAGATTATTGGATTTCTCAAAATGTTTTTGGCGAATCTAATTTCCAACTTTCTTAAAAAAGCACTATTCATTAAGTTGCGTATCTGCTTATCTTAGCAATCGATATCTTAACGTCGGCCAGCCAAGAATGATTTGAACTGGCGCTGGATAACTATATCCTACACGACGTGAGATGTTAAGGCTCCATTTCACAGAGAGACTAATTTGCATATCATTTCTAAACACAAACTTCGACCAAAAATCTTCGAGATACGTGTCTCCAGAAATTTTAGACTCCGTTATCGATACCACCTGCGGTTTGTGAAACAAGTTCGGAGAGCGATGCAGAAGAGGTCGTATATTGCTAGCTGGGAAAAAAATTGTAATGCAAATATTGTGTATTACTGCCTTCTTCAGACAAAATTCATAATCCTCTTTCTGTTTCCCGCCTCATTCTTAATATTGTCAACGAATGGTGCTTAGGTGATATTGATTTGATAACCATACTGTATACTAAATTGAAAGAAACCAATGAAACTTAATCATTAAATGAAATAATTCCACAGTTAATGCCATAAGCTTATCCAGAAATATTAATTTGCATTAAGAACTTTATTGTCAAATTACTTCTTATCTCATTACATAACCAGATAATTTAAATAAAAGTGGAACTGGAACAGTCCCGTATCAAAATTCTTTGCATTCTTTAATGCTTATTTTTGAACTTACAAATTTCGTATACAATAGTGTGACAAAATTGTATCATTTATCAAAAAACCTATGAAACTATGAAAATAACCATGCATATATTGCATATCGAACTAAGCATGTTAGGGTGGTCATCTCGGACACATAAAAAATTATAAAAAGGTGTTACATATATTTCTCCCTTCCCACGTTTGAACCAGTTTTCACTATTACCGATACTACGGTGAGAAATCTTATTTCTTGTGACAAAAAAGTAAAATAGAAAAGTAGAATATGCAGGCCACAAGAGCAATTAAAACATTTGATCATAACAAAAGCATGCCTATAAATACATGCAAGCAGTAGAAGAGTAAATCAACAGCATAAGTGGTCTTTTTCGTCAAAACAATTCATTTTCCAAATAATAAACACTGCAAACAGCGGAAACACTTGTTTCAAAGTTCTGCAAAAAATTCAAGCATAACGCTGAACATTAGAATCGAATACTCTCATTCAATTATGAACTGGTGGATTATTCTTGAAGTAAAAAAGAGCTACAAACTAGTAGCAGAATTTTCAACAAGTCACTTTGAAAATTATTAGTTCATTCCACCCAGTCATGATTAAATAAAACTGGAATGAAAGTGAAATGCAAGCAAAATAATTACAAACTTCTGCAGTAAAAAGCAAATAAGGATAGACAAGTGATACTTTGTAATGGATAATTTAGAATAAGCTCTAACAAATGAAGTTGCAGAACTGTGAAAAGATTTCATTACGGTTCCTGCATCATGCTTTTCGCACTTCAGCTGTTAATATATAATTTGAAAAATTATTACAAATACAACATAAAATTCAAAAATATTAAGATGAAAAGAGAGGCGGAGATAAAAATATGATAAATCGAAATAAGAACAACATAGGACTATCATTTAACGTAGAAATAAAATCTCAGTCATACAAATGTCACTGATTTATTTTCTACTCTCCTCTGCTTTATTCGACCTGGATGCATCAATAACCAATCCTATTGGCTCTTCTTCTTCATCCTTTTTCTTTGCTCGACTTCGTCGGCTTTCATTTCCACCAACTATAAATAAATGGATATTAGCTATACAACTTGTAACATAGCAAAACAGCGCGAAAAAAAAGAGTGTTGGGAAAGAAGAGCAGCAATTTGTTCTCCATTTATCATTTATCCGTTACAATTTGAAGATTAGCGCCTTTCCAAAATATCCGCTCTTTTTAATCTTTCCACATATATTTGTTAAGTAAAAATACAACAACGAATGCAAAGAATAAACTATTGAATTTGGGATAAACTATAGTATCAAGTCTTTCCTACTAATGTCATCCAAAGTTTTCTTATAAATGCGTTTTCAAATTTGTTTGTCTCAATATTAAATATTCTAAATTCAAACATCAATTCTAGAAGCATTCGAGCTACTCTCAATAGTCTATTCCAGCCAATACAAAACAATAGAAGCTGGGAGCTACTAAAATGTTTTAGATATGAAAATCCTGTAGTATCAAGTCTTTTCTACTAATGTCCGAGTGGGAATATCGATATCTCACATACAGCATTCTGAATCATATTAATCTTCCTCACAAATTATCGACTAATAAATTCAGAAAAAAAATAAAATGAAAGAGAAAATAAGCAATGTGGAAAATATATTCACCAGATTTAGACGGACTTCCCATGCTTATATCTTTTACAACAGCTGAGAATGTTTCATCATCCATAACGATTACATCATTTTCACTTAATTGCTTTCTTACAAATCTGAAATCAGTGGAAATTTCAATTTATCAAAAAAGAAAAAACTTTTTAGATAATATAAAGAATAGTTATTTAGTTGATGTTTGTCAATTGTGCAAATGACTGTCAACGAGAGCTCATTTCTTCCAAAGAAGTACAAAGACAAACTTTTTCGAACTAGTTTCTACTTCAAGTGTGGTTTCCTGTTTGCTATATTCCGCTTCTTCCAAATTTGTTTTTTCACTTCCTATATCTCTCCCTTTTCCTCTTTCTGACAAATTTGAATTAGCGCTTTTCTCATCTGGAATAAAACCATTCTGTAGAGAAAGTCTGAAACATTAAAATAAAAATAAATTATGTTTTGGTTAACATGTGTTACCCTTAATTTGCAATAATTCATAATATTTTCTTTAGTGAAAGAGACCTGTAAAGGACAAGTTTGAAAAATTACCACGCCGATCTTTATCTTTCTTTAAATATTTTGAGTAAACTGAACGTCTTTCTGAGGATCTTGTTGTCCTTTGTGATTTCGTTTCCTTTCCTTCTTCTTCATCTTCGTCTTCCTTTATTTGTTCTGGTTTTGGTGTCTTTTTGCCGAATGCTGCATTTCGTGCACTTCTCGATCTTGTTTCCCTCTGAGTTTCTTCAGTAGCGGGAGTTTTCGATTCTAGAAAGTAGCGCTTCGTTAAAAAGACTAATTGAACACAAAAACCTTTAAAAGTTTGAGAAATAAAAAGATTACTCAACTCTACTCACCAAAGAGATTTCATAGGGAATTTGAGATCAGATAAGTATTTAAAAATAAAAAGTATGATATCCATCACCATTAATAGATCTATCCTTTAAGAGAAAGTGCCCACAGCAATATATTTCATCCTCCCGTTAAGCGTAACTCACCCAACCAATGCAGTACGCTTTGCTGATACAGAAAATTAATTAAATCACAAGGATCGCTTAATCCTCAGTGCTTTGGCATTTTTGGTACAGCTCTTCCAGAGATTCTTTTGATTAAGAAACCGGATTCGCGAAAGAAAAAATTACCTTTCTGAACTAATGCTCGAGGTGAAACCATAATTAAACGGCCATCAAATCGCCGCATAACTGTGACCTAAAAAGAATATTTGCTTAATTCGCTCATTGTTTTTTTGTATTTGATAAGATGAATAGAAAACTTTCAATGTTCCTACAGTCCAATCAGTGAGGAATAAAAATATTGGAAATCATTCCAAAATTAAGGTAAAGCAAAACTAGAGTACGAAGGAAATGTAACAGTAAAAACGAACAAAACTGATGACTAAGAAAAAATTGTGATGTGAAATGACGGAAGTCTATCTAAAAGCAAACTGCACTGGATATGTTTGACGAATGATATTCAGTGTACTAGATTTTTGTTCACTGTGTGATTGAAAGTTTTAAGAAGCGTACTGATTAGTAAACCATCAGTCCCTTCTAAGTATTCCCTTAAACATTCCTGGAAGTGATTCGGTAGCTAACAAAGGCTAACCAGATTTCCAGCTGCAGTTCTTAAAGTCATCGGCTTTCCGGTCAGTTCTTCCGGATCGGTACCAAGCTGCATGGTACGTCCAGCCAGTTTCAACTTTGAGTTTTGTCCACTGAATGGTATTCGTCCTCAAAGATATTAAAAAAATTGACAGAAAAGAGATTATATTTCAATTTCTGTTCGGTACTTTCCCGTTTATATACACACTGATATTTGAATCCAATTTGCTTTTTTGACAAAAAACATCGCTCAAAAACTTATTCTTTGGCCTATGCTTGCAAAAAAAATCAGAAAGAAAAACAAACCAAATAAAGAAAAGTAAAAAACTGTATTTTAAAGATACAACATTTTATTCTACTACAAGTCATTCAATGACAAAATTGCCGACATTAAACTGGAATCATTTCTCCTAGTGCCATCATAGGCGCCTGAAAACAGTATCAAATCGCTTTATATGCGGTACTCTCTCAGATCGGCGCATCGTAAAATGAATCATTCCATATAAATTTAAAAATTTTACATAAATTTAAAGAACTTACTCAGTGTGTAAGCTCCTCGGGATTCTGGAGATTTCGTTGATTCTACAAGAGAACACTGATCACGAAATACAGAAAGGATGATTTTAGGAACTTAATGATTGCAATATAAGAATAATGAATGGAAAGTGAATTCACCCAAATAAAAACTGAATGCTTACCATCTCCTTCCGCTGAAGTTGCCTGAAAATTTTAAGACTTTTAAAAAACAATCACGTTAAACTGAGTAATAATATATGGTGTTTCTTCTTTGATCTCCCACAACAAAATTATTTCATATATTTCTGTCCCTTACCTGTTAAAAGCTTAATTTTTATAGGTTAAGGTCATACTTAATTATAATGAAGAATCAGTTCTTTCTACAGTTCCTGGCAAAGCTAAGCGATATGTTAGTTGAATGCTTTGTCCTGGTCTGCCATATCTGATTCTATTTGATTCTACAGCATTTCTATAATCTTAAAGTCCTAATATGAAAAGTTATGCATCAGAGAACTACTTTTTTTGGAACACCACAGAATGCTTCGCAGCCTTTTTAAAAATCAATTAAAGTACCTCCGCTCCTCCAACATATGTCGTTTTATCAAAAACTCCCTTGGTGTTCGGCTTTACGACACCGCGACTTCTTCTTGTTTGATATGGCTCCCTAAACAAATATTTTATTAGATAATTTTCAGCATCAGTTTTCCTCAGAATTGTTTCAAAACTCTATTTCATATTTTCAATCTATCATCAGCATATAGTTGATACACTACCAACGGCTGTAATGAACAATTGAATTGTTTTGATCATGTCTAGAATTTTGAATTTCATAATTTCATCTGCTGTATACTTTTAACTTATTAACGGAGATAACTAAATGAAATGTAATGAAAAGTAAAAATCAGATTGATGCCCCAAACATTTCAAATTTCTACAATTGTTTGATAATTCAAATAATTACATCCCGTTATACGCTATTTATTTAGGTCGAATCCTAACGTTTATTTGCTTCACAAAAGCAGAACTAAATGATGCTGAAGCCCAAAAATAAGTAGGTTTAGGAATTGAAATTTATTTTATTAATCCGAACAGCGGATCAGTATGCACTTCCCCTTTAGAACGTTTAAGTTTTATTCAAAATATGAATAAAAATTTAAACGACATCTTAGATCTTAGATCCAACAGACCTACTGGTAAAATCTAAGACAAACTGCAGCATCATGAGGAAAACTGAAGCAGCATTATGAAATCGAGTGTCGTAAACACCGTAACTTACAAATCTCTAATCTACAGAATGAAAAAAAAATTTAAAACTATTAAAAAATGAGCGTTTAAATCTTTTATAAGCCATCACCTTATGGATGTTTCTGCTTTTGGAACTACAATTAAAGGAGCTTTTCTTCCTGCCTTTATTTCGAAAGGTGTGTCAGGTTCTTCCTTTCCTTTTCCACGTTTTGATCTTCTCAAATTCGATTGTGTATCCTGAAAAAAATTTTTAAAGGGTTGGAAACTCAACGGAAGTAATTATTTGCACAATTTTAATTCGAAATTTAACGAAACAAGAGAATCACCGTTGTTTCAGACTGTTCTGTGACATCCATTTCTGCTTCCTCATCAACCGTCATTTTTTCTGCAAATTAAGCAAAATTCATGTCCACAACTTTTCTAGAAAAACCTATACATTACGAAATGAAAGAACATAAAATCTTAAACTCATTTTTCATCAAATGCTGACTAATTCTTTTTATAAACTAAGCATAATTAAAAAAGAAAAAATATGCATACCATGCACTGCAAAAATCGTAAAGATGCAATAAAAAAGCCTATAATTTCAGTTTTTTTTATTGTATCTTTACGATTTCTGCTACAGAACTCAAGAAATATCAAAGAACAAATCGTAAAGAAAATTTGAAAAAGATCTAGGCAAATCCTAACCTAATGCTTCGGGAGTGCTCCTTGCAGGTACTACTGGAAGAAAGATAAGCGGCTGCGTCTCTGATTCACTTTTTCCATCGCGCTGCTGTGCTGAACTACCTTCATCGCCGCTTCCAAAACTTAATGTTGGAAGCAAGCTCGTTTGCTTGGTAACTACTATGCCACTATTTACAATTTCTTTTAAATCAAAAATTTCAGCGGCCAGTTCTTCTACAGATTTATTGCAGTCTGGATCAGTAGCAATAGTATCGCAAAGTGATGTGAGATATTTCAAATATTTTTTCGCTGCCACAATATGCTTTAAAGACTGAGCTCGTTCTTTGAAAAGCTGTAAATCATAGCAACTTTATTAACAAGGTAAATTATTATTATTGTCTGGCCATTCAGAGAGCTCTGTCTGCTAGCACTGATGCTACGGCATTTCAAATAATGCCAAATCTTTTTCACATTACGGACAATGACTGCCGAATTCTAACAACACTTCGAAAATTCCTGAAAAGAAAGCCGGATTTAATCTAGAAAACTATAGTGAAATACAAACCTCGCACTGTAATTCAATTTGCATGACCAAGTTATAAAGTGTATAGCTGGAAAAATTCGATCGATGAGTAACATAATGAGGCTGGCCCGGGCCACCAACACCTTGAATTTCTCTGCTTTCAATTGAACGTATTGAACGGCTTTCACTAACACGACGATTGCACTGTTCGACCAAATTTGCTACCTAAAAAAATTTTATTCCATACTTTTTTATAATCAGTAGTTATCATCAAACAAATGATTTTGTACAATAATCTCTTATATTGTGGCGTGCAAGATTTCAATTGACTACTGACACAATCAGATCCCAATATAATTAGCAATGTCACAAAAGTTACTGAATTGGAATTATTGGAACATCCTGTTGCACTATCCCAGCGAACCTTCTATCAGTATTGTCATATTCTGTAACTTAAAGTGCTACTTATGTTTTTACTAGCTCTAAAACTTCTCTATTCCATAATTAAGGAAAGTTATGAAAAATAAGATTGCATTTTTTCATCAATGAATCCTTCATTCGTATGAATAAAAATTGAAAGAATTTAAGGCTTTTGAAAAACCAACAAATATTTTTTAACATTCATATTAATGGTTTACCTCTCGCTTCTCATCGTAGTCTGATTTGATAGTTCTGCCATATGTGAAGTGCTGACCAACATTTTGTTGTCCATATCGGAAAAAAGTATTTCTAATTCCAGAGTTGATTAAATGAACGATATTAGTATAAATATTATCTATACTGCTTGCAGAATGTATCTAAAACAAGGTGTTCCTCCCCTTTCGCCTTTCCAATTACATCGTAATAAAATTCATTAATCACAACAAAAATTTTCATACTATTTGGTTTATTACCTTCCTATAAATCTTGGTCTTTGCAAGTTTATCCGCTTTAGTTTTGATACTGCATTTTTTTCTACTTGTTCCTCTTGTTCAACACCCTCCTCACTGCCTTCGATACCATAATCAACATTTCGTTCGCCTTCGCCACCAACTGCATCTTCTTGTCCTGAAAAATGAGAAATGCATTTTATGAAGATAAATCATGACTCAAATCAAATATGAGAAACTAACAATTTGCATTCTTGCTGCAAATGCTTATGAGCAAGACAATGAATTTCGCATCTTCCTTTTTTCATTATCTTCATAAAATGCATGTGATACATCACAAGCAGCCTTGTCATTACCAAAAAAATGACGCTAACCGTCGTGTGCAGTATCAGGTCCTTCAGTAAATTCAACCACTGATGCAGAATCATCATTTCGTACATGAGGTGGGCGTTTGACGACATCAGTTGCGTAGGCATCTAATTCTCTAAAAATTCAATGAATTTTTGATTGTTTCAGCAAAATAAAATATGTGAGGAATGAAAAACAAATGAACATGGCAGATAAACAAATAAAACTACACTTACTGCAAATTTGAATCATCTTCTCTTACTCCCTCTTCAGACCACACACCGCCATTCTCTGAAATTTGACTTAAGTCCATTTGTGAAATATACAAATTCTACTTCCATTGCAGTGATTCAAAATATCTTTCACTGTTAGCGTAAAACTCATTATCGTGGAAGGTAACCTGAGAAAATCAAGAGATGCTGCACTGAGCACCATAAATTACCTTTTATTAAAAAGGAAACGCCATCATTAAAGACAGTTTACTTTTTTAATCTAACTTATACGCATTGTTTTTTCGAAAGCGATTTCTACTACATGAAGTGCTTATCACTGTCGATACGAAAGACATCATTACTGTGATTTGAATAAATGACATTCATCAATTATGATGTCGAATAACAAAAACCAGAGTGAAACAACAACATTCAACGATGCAATTGTGAAGGGCTCATTTTGATTTTTACTATTATAAGCTGCTTTAATAAAAGCATTGAATGAATTAATGGTTCATTTTAGCAACCCGACGGTATCCAAAGTAAGGTAAGTAAGGTTTGTTTTTATTGAAGACTGGAGTTTGTGGTAGATGGCAGCTGAGGTTGATTTTTCCAACAATATGTTTCATTTGACAGCTAATCTACCTATTAAAACCAATAAAAGTGAAAGGAATATTCTACGACTACAGCTCACCTGACATGATTTCACTTCCTATTTCACCTCTTCGTCTCAAAAGACGCGCGCGTTGTGCATGACTTTTCACCATTCCAGCAGTTCGTAAACGTCTCTCTTCCACTTCATGCATGAAAATTTCAGGAGTGAATGGAGCATCAACTGTTGCATCCTCATCTGCAACACAGTTGAAATTATTATCCATTATTCATTTTCTTAAGAACTACACAGTAACGAAAATCACTTACCGCTATGGAAATTATGATCCAGACAGTACTGTATTCGCAAAACTCGAGTTTCCTGTCGCGAAACTCTCTGAAAAAAGTTACCGTTTATTTCCTCTTCTTCTATCTACTTATTGGTTCATTTCTTATCGTAAAGATAAATTAAAAATTTTGGACGCCGTAAGGAGAATAATAATGACAAATCATAAAAGACACTCATATGATTTGCTGTTTTAACTGCAACATCTTCCAAAATCTTATAATCAATTCATATCATTCATATTACTTTCAAAAACTTTTCGTATAAATGTTTGAGATCTTGCTTCTGTATTGAAAGTTGTTTTGCTGGGTGACCTATCTCTCGTTAAAGTTGCAATGAAAAATTTCAAAAGTCTAAAAGTGTGTTTTGCATTAAAAATAAAATCAATGCAACCTATGTATTATTGTCAGGCCATATTATTCTTTACTGAGAGTGGCAAAAACATAATCAGTACGAATCGTTTTGTATATAGCACATGTTATTGTGGCCTCAGTTTCAATTTTTATCCAGCCAACCATAAAACTTTCCTTTACTACATCCTCTACTTCAATGCAACATAAAATCTACTCTCAACACTACATTATCCTTGTGATCCAAATGCACTTACTCGGTAATCGTATACTCGAACAAATGCAGTACAATGAAGACCATCAGAATTAACTCCATATGTTCGGCACCAGCGGTCGTCTGCAGCACAGAGAAAAAATAAGCTTTCATTATGCATTGAAAAACGCCGAATTTTGTATCGACTGCGTTGTTGAAGCTCACGCATCCATTGCTGCAATCTGATAATTTTACTACTAACTGTAAACTGAATAATTTATAAGTACTCTTACTTCGGTCATGTTTACTGATCTTTCATCCAAAACGGTATTATTCTAAAACTGCCGAAAGTTTATATCCTGACATTAAAATTCGATCTTTTTTTAAGCATTTCAATATTACTTTATCATCCCCAGTTGTTCCAACATTTTCCCCTTTTTACCAATACAGACTAAGCTGAAATGTTTTTTTTGGGATTTTTATTTCGATATCTAATTACTATTTTATTTTGGGTATAACAACAAGAAACCTCGAAAAGGTGTACTCCAGGAAACGAATAATATTGACACGTCGCCTCTCGTTGATGATCCTGCGATACATGATCCACAAAATTCTCCTGGGATGTAGTGTCCGCATCAGTTACAATTGATATACCGCATTCGATACATACTGACTAAACTTGTGATAAAATATTAGCATAGTGTTTGTTTTTATATCTAGAAATTACCTTTAGTCAAAGGGAAAAGTAAAAATTCTCCTCTGAGAATTTTCTAATCTGCTTTAACATTACAAGCCACCAATTTTGCCGTATGAAGACACATAGGCTAGATGTTGAGGTGTGAGCAAGCAATAATGAGAAGATGAAAATGCAAAAGATACGAACCGGTGGGAATGGACGCATTCTTCGAAGCATTGCAGGGGCGCAATCTGAATCTAATAAATTTATAGCGATAAAGTGCTCAAATCATTACAGAATATAGTCAAAACATGTCCTTCAACATGTCGAACTAATTTAGAGCTTTCATTACTTAACAAATCTCACTTTTATTACTAATGTTATTTATACTATACTACCTACACGTAACTATTGTAGGAATCAACTTCCGAAAGTGACAAACGAATTATAAGAAAAAAGCGTTACCTTTGGAATGCAAACCACGACGTCGCTCCGCCATTATTTTTTCATATTCAAATCGCCGACGATATACCTTGAAAAAATTTTAAATGACAGTCACAAGATTCGTTAGTTACATTCACTGAGATAAGAACTACTAATTATGCTTCAACTATTTCGATTAAACTACGAATAAAGTGGGATATGCAAGAAAATTATTCGACATGTATTTTTCTTCTATAGGCAAAGTACGGATAGGCTCACTATAAATCCTATATAGTCACCCTAGGCAATGCGTTTACCAATTAAGTAAAACAATGCATGATCTGCGGAATGACAATCACCTTTCGAAGCACCCTTAACAGGATCACTCTTCTGCCAAAATTATCTAATTCTACGGTTGATAGGAATTCTAGGACTAATATTCAGAAGACATGTTTAAATCTATAAGTAGAAAAAAATATAAAAAAACTCTCCTTTACAAAAAAAAAAAATATTTACGAGATAGATGAAATTTTGTCTTATTTATGAGACATAGACAAGATAAATATTTCCAGTTTTATGATTGTTGAAGTCACCAGCTTAAACAATTTGCATTTTTAACATTTTTAACCAATCATTGCTGAAAGTTGCTAAACATTCGGACATGTTTCAATACATCATAAGACCAACTTTCAATGAAACAGTTCTAACCTTGTATTCTCGATGTTTTGTCAATCTTTTTACTAGTGTATTCAAAGGAGGAAATAAGGCCAAAACATCCGGATTTTCAGCGGCTAGTTTTTCGACTGAAAAAGTAATATTATTGAAAAAAGTGATATATTACAGAACACTTGCAATACTATAAACCACTGATAAAAGGTTGTATTTTTAAAAAAGATGGAAATTTGATCACTAAATGTTTAAAAATAATACCAAAATGACTGTAAAGATCTTCTAGTGGATCATCTGTAAATTCCGCCATCAGACGCAGATCGTAAATAACAATGCGAAGCCGCACCTAAATAAAGAAATACATGCATGAACTTCGACCAATTTAAAATGTATATGGAGAAGTTATGATTAGTTATGATGGTCCGCAATTTATCCTAGTTATGATGAATGATCTGGTCTGCAATTTATCAAAAATAGCATACTTGCAAATCATCCGGTTTACATATAGTTAAATGATGATGTCCAGAAGAACGTAGTTCTGTCAATCCAGGAGATGTCCGTAAAGCCCCAGGACATCCTTCATTTACACAACGCCATTTTGTATAACTGATTTCACTCAACTGAAACAATACTCACATTCCTTTCATAATACTTATAAAGAATTTACGACACATTACTTCTGTGTCTAGATTTGAAATCAGGAAAGCAGTTTAATCAAGACCCCTAAAGATCATTAGAAGTAAATTCTATTTCTTACTAAAAAAATATTAAATCTCACTCTATATTTCAATAGCCATGGGATATGTTCCGAAACAATGGAAATGGAGTTGTTTCAGTTATTCATTTCCGAAATGCGTACTCAATGTAGGTCTTCACCGATATGCAGTCATTAAAAACAGGAATCAACAAAAATTATCGAGCACATTATTTGTTCCTGCTTAATAATAAATGATATGAAGGGAAGCGTCAGAGCTACTCTCCAATGAGTTAGCTAATTCTTCACAAATACGAAAAGCTATTGAAACTAACATCAGATGCAGCAACATAAAGGTGTCCATTCCAGGCGATTTGTGGACGACATCGCTTTGAAAAACATAAGATAATTCTTTCACCATTATCAAAAGTTATCGTCCGAGATACAAGATCTTCCAAATCCATTGTCAGACTTATCTAAGACATTAAATATTACCAATATCCTCCAGATAGCCATATTACATAAATTATTATTTGATAGCAAAAAACTGTAGAGTATGAACAGTTTGAAAGTAGAATTGGTATCACAAATCAGACCTCTCCAGTCACCGGATCCCTGATAACTTGATCAACTTCTCGATCAGCAAACATATCTGAGTGATCTTCATCGTCGCTATATAGACCATCCTCATCATTTATACATTCTTCCATATCGCCTACATCACTTCCGGGAGTTGGAGACATTGCTGGACGGCTTTCTTCCGTTTCAACAATTACTTCTTCGCTAACGCTCTACGAGAGGATTCATATATCATTGTCAAAATCGCGTCATAGGTCTTTATGTGCAAATTCTTTCGGATATATTCATAGCGAAAACCTCCAAAAGCAAGTACTAAATGTTTACCATATGTAGGCCGACATCTTGCTGTACTGTATCATCTTGTTTTCCTTGCTCTTGTATCCTTTCATCATATTCTCCGTGTTCACTGCCAGTGGCATCCCCAATTTGCATCAGTGCTTCATCCAGTTCATCAATAACCTCAAAATTTTATGCAATTTATGAGATTTATCGATCAATAATAATGAAATAGCGCTTTTCAATATCAGCCAATCTAACATCATTCAAATTTACTGCATGCTTGATATTCAGGATAAAGCATGCTTTACTTAGATGTCAAGGAATTTCTGGAGAAATCGTTTTTAATAAGTTTTGGGACTATAATTTAAGAAAGGGGATTCAAGCATAATGATATAATCTTTCTCAACACGGAATGTATTGGCTTACGAACAAACAGCTATCAACTGAAGTTATCATCTAACAAAAGGCTTGTTTACCTGACCAGAATCTACAATTTCCACTTCGCCACTTTCCATCTCTTGCTGGCTTTGTTCGTAATTACTTCCCGCATTAACAGAATCGGTCATATCTGTCCCTAAAATATGCAGATTTGATGCTTTGGAATTCCTTTTCTTATGAAAATTTGAAAAGGACAAACATAAGATAAGACAGTAATGAGCAATATTGATGTTATTCATTATCTAAATTCACGTTCTCTCCACTGCACATTCAATATAAATTCTATAAAAATTATCCTCCTCTCATAAAATCTATAATTAACTTGAGAACCAAAATTGAATTATGAATATTTGATATGAATTATGATTATCAGCAGCAATACTGCTTCTAATATTTACCCACTATCAAAAACAAATGTGTCACAATCAATTTATATTTCTGTCCTACCTCACAAACCTGACCAATCATCAATGTTCTTCCTTACTATTAAGTATTGTCATGAATCGCTAGAAACATCAAACTTTATGAATTTCCAAACAAACATATTATTTTTTTCAGATTCATCCAGTAATTTTTGCATTTTCAAATCTGCCTACTCTCTGGCCTCCTTCGATGTATCCGCTTTTTATATGATTTCACAATTCGACTACAGATCACTACCTTGACTAAGTAAATTATTTGAAGCGGTTGAGTGCTTATTTATACTGTAGATGTCCTATTATTACTTCATTTGTTAATAAGATTCCCCATGTACAGCAAGAGATACCAAAGTTTTCACAGCACCATGGCATTCCGAACGATACGAGCGTATCTCGAACGATGTAACCGTACCCTCAGTGATATCCTATTTCCCAAACGGAATGCATTGACAGTTGGTTACAAATGACCCTGGTGATATCTCTTGCTTGACCGAAACTGCCCAAATGATCCTACACGAAGATAAAAAAACCATCGCACCCCAATCTTTCGCACTACAAACGTTGCAGAAAGGAAATCGATTACATTGTTCCCCAACGTTGAGATGAAAGTGTTGCATTGCAGGCATGAAACGTCTTAAGACTAATTCTGAACGATACAGCCGCATAACATGGATTGAGGTGCGGTAAAGAAGGAATCAGCGCAGGGAGATTTTCGCTTGGTCTTAGTCTTAGCCGTAGGTATATCTCGGAAATTAAGTAATCCTGATATTAATACGAACCGCAATTTCTGTCATTGGTGCTATTGCAGCCATCACTACGGAACAGTAAATTTTGAACAGTCTGCTAGCAACATCTAATGTGTCTCCACTTCCTTTTCAGTTTTATTGCATTTGTGAACAGTCACAGCTAAACAAAATAAAAATCATTATTGCGAATAAAGCTGAAGGATGAGTGGTGCCTGTTTATTGCATGGTAGCAACACTACTTACCTACGACATTTTAGAATAACTCCAAATCCAGCGTTATTTCCTTTCAACAACTCCCGAACAATCATTTAGCATGCAAATCTCTTCCCTCTACAATAATCAGCTATTATTAGGATAGCATGGGTAGGAATATGTTTACGAGATGACACAATCATATATACAAAAATTGAATCATTGAAAAAAATTTATGAGGACTTGTGGGTCGCATTAATCGGTAAAGAAATTCGATTTAATGAAAACCTGCCTATCAACCAAGTTAAATATGGTTCTTGCATGCTGGAAAATTCGTGAAATGTGTTCCAGGAAATATACGATGCATATTGAAATCAGACGGCAGGTCAGTAGTTTTCAAAATCTACTGTGCAATTATTACTAATTACCAAAAGCACTGGCTGATAGATGATGAATTAAGAAATCCACAATCATTGTTTTTTCTAAAAACACAGGAAGACATCAATGATGACTAATTAAGTGAAATACTTTTCTGAAAAGATCGATATAAGATATAAAAAACTGAAAGGAAATGAAGCTCAATTGCAAACCACTGCCAAATTACCAGTTGATTTTACAACGCAGGAATTACAAGGGAATTCTTGTAAGAAATTAGTAGATAATGACGCAAGCACAAAGATGAAAAAGTATTTCACTAAAAAATAAGTTGTAAGAAATGCTATACGTGGCTTATCCCTATACTAGTTTTCTTTTTTGATATTGCTAAAATGAATTTCCCGCACTTTCGTAAATTTAATTCTCACTGGAATCTAATTCCTCGCACATGAAAGAAAAATCTCCGTTTATTCAAATGCAAAGAACTATGCTACTTAAGAAATTGATAGGAAAAGTGTGATGGTAATCGGATAATCATCGTAATAGATGTTATGATACAAGCTTTGTTCATAACGTTATGAAATTGATTTTTGTCAGTTTTTAAAGAATCTACTGTGGCGTTGATGACGGCGGATTGCCCCATTGTGGCGACGTTGATGACTGCAGATTGCCCCATTGTGGCGGCGTTGATGACTGCAGATTGCCCCATTGTGGTGACATTGTCGATGAAGGAAATTGACTATATGCTGCAAAAAATATTGAAATATGTACAAACTTCCATCTTTTATTACAGTGGAAATCAGATGCCTTGGTAAAAGAATTCTTTTGATAAAACATAAGAAGTCATCGTCAAAAGACGTCTTTCACAAAAACACAAAATTTCGAATGAGTTGCAAAGGGTCAAATTCATCCCAATTTAATGTTTCATAATCGGAAGTTCCCTCTGCAAGTAAACCGCTCAGCAAACTATAACATGGCTTATATGCTCCCTTCAAAAAAAAAGAATTTAGACTTTGAAATTACTATGTAAAGGAGGATTGAAAGCTCCGGGATACGTCCCAGGATATGCAACTGGATAAGGTGTTGTGTAATTTTGATTAAATTGAGGCTGTGGCAGATAAGATGATTGCGGAGGTTGATATCCATAAGGTGCCTGAGCTGAAATTAAGCGTAAAAACTGAGATTTTCGCAACAAATTGCTGTAGTGTAGATGAGGCTTGAGATGATGCTAAAAAGTGCTTGTAGATGAGGCTAAAAAATGAAGATATTTATAATAATAGAAACGGTTTGTCAAGTTGGTTTCCTAAGTAATAAAGTAAGAAATCTTACATTCTGCAAGACATGCGGAATTAAAAAGAATAAAAAAATTGTTTTCTAAAATTCCTAACATAAGGAGGTTTGATGATTCTATTATCGTAATTTATTTCATTACCAAAAGGTGCAGATGGTTGTTGCTGCTGAGGAATGCAGGACTGAGGTTGATAGTTCGGATTCTGAGGCGGTATGGATGGTGCTTGTGATGCTGCAAAATGCAAATACGTCCATGTATATCTTTGCACCCGTAAATAAAAATAATTTAAACAAAATGGTTTTTCAAACATGTTTAATGTATCAACGATATGAGCGCGAGATAATCGAAGTGAATGCCATTTTATCAATAATGATTTTCCTTATCAGAATGTCTCTTTGTCTCCATGAATAAAAAATAATTTCTATTATTTTGAAATACGCAACAAAATATACCGAAATTGATAATTTAGGTGGAAAACTGTACATTTTTTAACGCTATTACAATTAGATTTGCTGTCCTCAAAAAATCAAAACAATAAATCAAGATCAAAGACAAATACGGACTAACAGCAACTAGTAGTGAAATCAATAGACCTTAAAATTAAACAAATAAGTCAATGTAATCACCCAATCAAGTTATATTACTTTTAGGGACAATACGACTACATGAACTGCTGTCTTAATAAATGATACTGTGAGAGAAAAAATCAATGTGAAGTTTCAAGTTATCGCTAGAAGATATAAGGATTTTTAAATATAGAACTCAACATTATACATGTAATTTTAAAGCGTGAATGGAGATGACCGAATATTAAAAAAGGGAATAGTACCTTGAAGGCTGTTAACATAACGAGGAGGTGGAATTGGCGGTTCTACATCGAACGGATTATTTGATGAGGATGCATTTGATGAAGCTTTTGGTGGGGGTGGTCGAGGAGGTGCACTACTATTTGAAGAACCTAAATTATCATCCAAATAAGTAGTTAGCGGTAAACTGGATAAAATCATTTATCACCTGCACGATTCTTTGATTTTTTTCTTACAGTTCTTAATCTAACATTTTCATCTTATTTACATTTCGTTTACACTAACCGGAAACAATATTTTGTTGCAATTGCTTCATCAGATCTTCTTTTTCGGTCTGCCGAGCGAAACAAAAATCAGACACTTTTTGTTGTAATCGTAATAGTAGAGGAGTCAAATCATTATAAAACTGAAAGTAGAATTGATACATACTAGCATAACAAAAAAAAAAAAAACAAAATATACTTGTATAACAAAATAGTTGAATAGTAAGTAATTCAGGTATCACCAATTCTAGTGGTGATATCAAGTTCCAAATATTGATTACACTTTACCTTTGTTCCTTCATCCAAATTCGACTTAATCTCTAAAAATTTATCATGCCCATTAGCCAATATCTTCAAAATCCGTTCACGTTCAACAGCACGTTTGCTGGATGTTTTTTCGGAACCAAACTTCTTATTCCAAAACTGAAAAATGGATTAAATGCTACAAAAAGACTACCTAATTTTAACATCAGATAAAAGCTTAAACAAAATAAGTACAGTTAAGACACGAAAAGACATAGGCCAAAGGAACAGACACAAACAGATAAAACACAAACCCACTCCAACAGTGCCATGAATAACGATACAAAAAAAATAAATAATACCAGTCACTGCTTACCTCCACTTGTGCCAAACAATCCTCTTGCTTTTTAATAGTTTCATTTACTTTGGCTTTTAATGGGCCATATATTTCTGCAATTTTAGCAGTAGAAATCTCTTCTTCATTGATAAATTGGTTATCGGCTAGCGCTTTCAGGAAAATAGAGCTCATATCACAACGAACATTAGTGAATTCTTTTTCTAACTTCTCTCGTTCAATCTAAAATTCTTTTTCAAAAGAAAAGGAAGAATTACAAGCATAAGGTAAATATTAATTCCAGTTATGGGTACCGTCGAAGGAAAAACTTCATTAATTTGTAGATGTTCTACTTCTGTTTTTAATTTTTTCGGCTGTAACATCATTATATCGCCATTTATAAAAAAGCAAATCATACGGTTGATCAACAAGCAAACCAAGCGGCAAAAAATTTGCTGGGAAGAGAGTTACGAAACAGGATTTTTCGCTTTGATAGTCTAACTCAAGTAGGGTTAAGAAAACAATGGCTTTTTCACGTTCAGACCTTACCTTGATTTCTTGTACAACATCCATTAAACTTCTAAGTTTTATCACGGCTTCCGAATTTGTTTTAGCATTTGAAGAATCAAGAAACGGTATTGCTGCTGTAAAATCCTGTTATATATTTCGAGGTAATTGATGTTGCCACTAGATTATGATTATGTGACAACTTATGTTCATATAAATTCTATGTATTGCTATAAAAGCTACGAATATATATATATAAAACGAGCAGCAGAACGACTACTTCCTACTTCGAGCCTATAACTCTCTTTAGTTCTAAAAAGAATAAAAAAAACACAAGCAAGCACTTATTTTAATTCAGGTTCAGTTGTACTAAGCAACTTGATTCCTTCTCTATTCTCTTCCAGTTTCTGCTTGACCATTTCGTCCGCATTGGAAGCTGCATGAAGAATGCCACGATATTTACCACATTCCTGGTGAAGTGGAGCTGTAAGCTGTTCAGAAGCCATACGTGTCCACTTATCTTTGAACTGTGATCGCAAACGATCGTCGTTTCCTTTTTCTTCATTAAGCAGTCGCAAGGTCTAAAAAATCCCATGGAAGGAACAATTTTAAAAACATAAAAAATAAACGAATAAACGATAAGAGACACTACGGTTCAGCCTTATAATTTTATTCATTGAAAAGATTGGGCTAAAAGGCTATTGTGATGATTTAAAATTAAGAAAAGACAGTGCACACCAGGAAATATAGCAAATAGAAATGAATATTATAGAATTCTCGTATAAATTTGGAAAATTCACTTCATCCAAAATTTCTTGGTTTCTTTTATGAATATTTGGCAAGTCAGCAATAAGATTTAGAAGGACATCAATTCCACCCTGAGATTTAACTTTAGAGGATTTTTGTCGGATAGATTCTGGCAATGCTTCGTTATTCGTCACGTCATCCAAAGCAGCGGGTAAATTTAACGATGCCAATATCCTATAATGAATCGAACAACTCATGGTCAATAAAGATCAAACACAGATGCTAAGATATCTCTTAGCTCTTGCTACATGCTAAGATATCAGATGCTAAGATATATTTAAGATAGAGATATCTTAAATATCTCCTATCAATCTTTCATAAAATCATATATAGCTTTTAAATCTGATTCTTCCTCTCCTTTGCATTTGCAAGGGTTGACGCTGAAGCAAGAATCTCAAAATTAATTTACCCATTCATTATTTGAGTATGTTCACGGAGACGACTAGTTTCCATATTGATAACTTCTGACTTCCGAGCATCAAAAGATGCCGTAGCTTGATGTACTTGGACCGGTATAAGGCTTGAAAACATGTCTGCAACAATGGAAATTCTGGGATCAATCTCTATAAGCAACAAACGAAAAATTAGAGAGGATTCAAAATTAGACATTAGTAACATTCTAACTACGGAGAATTGGCTGTAATATTAACTGACACTTACTTTCGTAAAATAAAATGAAATCGTTGTGTAAATCATACCTTTAAATCGTGGCGTCATTGGAAAAGTAACCGGTATGATTTTAGCAACCGCAGCCTTAGGTAAAGGTGGCAAACTTCGGAAATCAGCAACTCTCTCGTGATACTAAAAATAAAACGGCCAAATAGAGAAATTTTTTTTGCTAAGATTTTTTTTTCAGGCTGAGATATTGCAGAGGCATATGTTGCTAATAAAATTACTAAATCTATTACCTGAAATGCTTTCTTTCTCCATAAAAAGTTAACTATTGAATCACTGAATTTCTCATCAAATAATTGAATAATAAAAAAAGAAACAAAACAATAAAAGCAAAAAACAACAAAAATGACACATCAACTGGTCCATCAACGACATTACTAAAAGAAATTCTAAATTTTAAGAAGCTAAGAAATTATAGAAAAATTACAATGAAGTCATTGTCCTTTTTAGCTGTTGCATATGCTTTTTCAATAGCTGCATTTTGTATATCGAATGCTCCATGAGGCATATAACTGACTGCCTGTTGCATGAGAGACCGTGATTCAATTAATCGACTTAGCTGTTCACCTTAAATTCAAGCATATTTATGAATGAAGAAACTTTCTTCTATGATCCAAATAAAAAGCACGATATCGAAATAACCTCAGAGGAAATCATAGAGAAGGTTCAAATTTTAAAAACATATTACGTAGATGTTCCATAGAGAAAAAAGAATATGATTGCCAGGTTCAAACTCAGATTTATCAAATTCATTGTTTTCCAAAATTTAAATGCTATTTCGTATTTCGGTAATTTTTGAAATAGATGAGTATATTTCTCATCACTATTGTAGCAACAAACCTATATTCTTCGAATCTGCATTGTCCATTGCTTTATGATATTGAGAGAGAGCTGAAAGTCCCAAAGCCTTACCTTTTATAGTATTTGTCCATTCCTGCAAAGTGATGTCCATATATAAAAAAGAAAGATTATAAAAACGTCCAAAAGTTTTGACACAATTTGATAGCTTCTAGTAAGAATAATCATTTTAAAAAATGACAATGTTATACGTGGGAAAACGTAATCAAAAAATCATGCAGACAGCAGAGAAGTTATCAAATTATCATACAGGGATGAATAAATTGCAAAATTTCAATCGAAGCTATGCAAGCAACATATATAATATTAATAACCTTGTCAAATAAACCTCTAACAGCATCTCTTTGCAGTTGCTTCTGAGATTCTTGATAATACTCCGCGCATTGTGCTGCTAATTTCGTCAATGCAAGTGGCTTCATTTTATCTAAAAAGTGGTCCAATTCTTCCAAAACAGAGCTGCATCGTACATAAAGAAGTATTATTATCTCCTTACTTGTTTTCGTTCACTTCATCAACGAAAGCATGAAAGAAACGAACCTTTTTCAGCTTTGATGTAGATCGCTTCCTGTGCTTGAGCTAGCATAATTATTGAAAGTACTGACAATGTATCAGGCATAAGATCCGGAGTTGGTTCCTGGAAAGGAATTGCTATATTAGCAGTTCACGAGAATGTAATCCTCGTTTCTTCAATAGTATTTCGAAAGTGACAAAGCAACCGTTGAATCAACTGCTGAACCACCAAATCCTACTAGGATATTGCATGTAACTTATTCCCACTCATCAGATAAAATTAAGTATTAACAAAATTAATGATTAAATAACCTAATATGTAGCAGTCACATTACCACAAAAAGTACTTCTGATAAAATCATAATCAAGTGATGACTACACACTTATATCAATCAGTGAATGAAATTTTATGATACAGCTAAATAATGAAACATTTCCTCGGAACCTATAAGCACCTTGCCAGATCAAAGAAACTAAAAGAAAAAGAAATAATATATTCCTTTATTCCTATATAAAATGACAATGATGGGTTCAGTTTCAAAAACTGCAAAAAATATCGAACTTGTTGTACAATCCCCAGGATCGTATCCTTCAGATGTGCAAAGATACCAGCTGACTGTTGAAAAAATTTTGCTGCTGTTTTGAGTTCTTCGTCAGTATGCATGGGTTGAGAAGCCGCAATCTCAGACATCAAAGCGCCACAATTGAATAATACAGCAGCTCTTTCAAATGCACCATCACTTAGAGCTGAAAATCCAGTTATATAATTCATATCAGATTAATTGAAGTAAAGCTCCTTTATCAAAAAAAAAGCGTCAAGGTGCGCACAGGTCGATGCTCTAATAAAGATAAGGTTCATCTTGTTCTAGCTACCTTTTAGTAAACGTATCTTCGTAGTGCTTGAATTGAATAAAGGAGTATGAAAAGATATATAAACATACTCAGTGAAGCTCGGCCAAAAAAGAGTGAGCCTTTATCGAAGGCATCTTTCCATTTAAAGTTGATAGGATTTTGAGTCGCAGTAATTGGTATTTTGTTTTCAATGGCCACCAGCTGATCATAATATCTATAAATGCTTGAGCTGTGAAATATGAATTATCAAAACTGCAGAAAGAACAAAAATGATATTTGATTTTGCCACTGATTAGTCAGAACTATTAATGGCTCTGATCATCCCGATTTTCTCTGATTCATAAATTGTTCCAGATTTCATTCTGGACAAAGACGGAATGTCCTAGCCGGGTTACAGGGCAATCAATATATACCTAGTCAGGACATCCAGCGCACTCTGATGTTTATCCAAGGGTTGATTGCAAGCTTTGTTTCGCATCTTATTCAGTTCTTGCATGGCTTCACTAATTTCTGAGCTTAATTCACTCGCTGATTGATAAATATTCTCGACATAACTCGTTAGTGGTTTCACTAAGTCCACTTCGTTCGTATGTTTCAGCGGCACCGCCAGAAAAGATGACATCTTTTATATCTAGAAATTTTTGAAATCCATTAAACTTCTGGAATGGAAATCCTTACGGCGAAGTTTTATTGGAAGCAGGAAAGACCAACGATCAGGCAAGCCCTCAGAGAACCAATAGGGCCGCTCAACCACTGGTAATTCATCTAGTAAGGATGGAAAAGACTTTCTGAAATTTTGAAATATTAAACATAGCGAACAAAATGTAATCATTTAGAGGATAAGAAGATCGAGGTAGACAAACAATAGGATTAAAGAGAAACAATGATCAATGCTTGTTGTCACGCCACGTTTACATCAATTAATATGCAGAAGAGTAACAATAGATTGTTTTCATATACTACGCGTAAAGAGTGAAAGAGGAAATTCACAAATCAATCAAATGATCATCACATTCCAACGATGGCTATGATATTGCTTTACAGTACCATCTGATTGATTTGTGAAAGCAGAGTTCTCACCGATACACATCCCAGCTATGACTATGATTAGGAGGAATATCAATGGTTAGATTTGATAAGAGACAGGTGGAAGAAAGGGATGAAGAGCAAGTGACAACCAGTAATGATAAGCGATGACAAAAATATCCACTCATGATAATCACATGTCTACGCCTGAGCTGAATACGGTAGATGATCTCTGTCGGGTTAATGTTCAAGTTGCTCTGCAAAGCGCAACTGGAACTCTGGTCTATGTCAATTTTGAATGTTAAGCGTAGCGTAGCGCGTAGTTAAACGTCGCGTCTACTATGATGGCGTACCATATGTTATCCCCGTCATTCCAAGTTTATCATATCATATGTATCTGCATAATGTACAGATTTGTTTTCGTTGTGTAATATTAGTATCTCATAAATCGTCATTATAATTGCGGGTAGTCATAAAAAATTGATCAGTGGTCTGTCCATTTTCATTCAAAAATTATGGAGAGAAGCTCTCATTTGTCAATGTGTCAATTTTTTCCAGTATATTGACTAGAGTGTATCGATTGAAAATGTGGCTGATCATTAGAATTATTATGAAAATGAAAAGAATTAACTGCTTCTGAAGTGTTTCTAGCTTTCAGATGACTTGAGAATTCTTTTGTGATACGAACGGTAGAATTGAACCGCGGATATGAGCTATTTTCTGCATCTGAAGAAATGATATCTGAGATTGTGAGATAGCAATGATGAAATGAGGTCACTTTTGAAGAATTTCGTCAGCTTTAATTTTCTTTTTGCTGTTGAAGAAGAAAGGACAATTTTTACTTTGTTTGTTATATAATAGGTAACACAGTTTTATATATTCAAACAATCTTAGACATTCTCAGTCGTTTGATTCATTATATTCCACTTAGAAACTCTCCTATTCACATATATAAAATGTTCCGAATATAAAATTTGTGCATCACTGCAATCTCAGCCGATTGTAATTATACGATATAACTTAGTCGATGATATTTGTACATTACAATACTATTAATGACAGCTGCACATTGCCGCAATACTAATCAATGACAATTGTACATTGCTGCAATATTAATTGATGACAGTTGCACGTTCTCGCTTATTGGTGACAATTGCACACTGCTATTATTATTAACCAATAATCGAGATATCAGGAATCAAAACTGAACAGGTATGAATGGATAACCAGGTTTGATAGTTGCTTAAACTTCATTTTCGTTCTATTTCAAATATTGATGCTTAGAAAGAGAAATTTTCTTATCGATGCATATAAGTTTTATCCAAAAATATTTTTCCAGATGTCTAATTAAAATATCTCCAGAATGTTACCAAACAACTCATATTAACCGAATTTATCTTTAATGTATACGAAAGTGAATGAATACAAACGGAAAAAAAGAAATGATGGAATATTTGAGTAGAAGAAGACTTTCTAAGTGGGATGTAATTGATCAAACAACTGCAAATTTTGCTCTTCGCAGAGAGCATTTAAAAATGTCTGAGTATGTCTATGATTGTTTGACCTCAGTATTTCATCGTTAAACAATTTCTCAAGATGAAATACTAAAAAGATGATTACTATGATTATGAATGAAATATAAATATCATAAACATAAAAGATAATAAAAATATCTTTTCAAATGTCATTTCTTTTATTTCATAATAATACTTATCAGGAAATAAAAGAAATGACATTTTGAAATTCGAAACTATTCTTGCAGGAAATTGCATAATGAAATTGAAATGGAAATCAAAGCAATGCTATCTTGTTATCGAATTTTAATTTCAATTAATGGATAATGAAAATGGAGCAAATGACAATCAGATAAATTGAAAATGTTTTTAAAGATCATCCAAACAAGACATAAGTAAAAAATAATTTGCAAGAGAAATGATTTCCTGTTCAAATTGACGAGGATCAGGATTGCCGGATATTTACATGTAAATAAGTATATAATTGTTATTTCTATGTTTATATTCTTTCGATATATTAAAAAAAAAGTTGGCTGTTTGGAAATACACTTTTAAAACTTATGAACAGTAATATAAAATTGTATCGAAATATTTTCCATTAAATTTGTTCGTACAATTTTTGTCAAATTGTTTGAAACGATTGAATAAAAAAACTGATATCAAAAGTAGATTAAAGTCTATGGACATAGCATGATTTCTCTTTACAGGAGTTTCTATCAGAGCATTTGAAGCATTTGAACAGTAAACATTTTTTATTATTATTCTCTTTCAGATTACTTTATTACTTTTCTTTTCTTACCTTTCCCGTTTACTTTTGTTAAAAACGCTCGATGGAAAGTAAATTCGAAAATTTTGGAAACGGTCAAAAACATTAAATCAAAGAAAATTAAAGGTAAGATATTTTAGGACTTTAAATATAAATTTAAGCAAATTGTTAAAAGAATTTCTTTGAATGGAATCCCCCTCCATATTAAATTTTTATTTCAATTTGTCGAAAATTAGTTATAAAAATTGTTAACATAAAAGCAATAGAATATTATTTATTGGACGCTTTGAAAATCTTTCACTGCAGGAGGTTTTAAGCAACAAACCTATTCAATAATAATTCTCAGAGTATTCTCAAAATGTGAAGAACAACCTTACCTTTTTCATCCTTGACAATGAATTTTTATAAAAAAGTTTTTTCTTTGTAGGCCACATTTTATCAAATTTATGTTAAGAAAATCATCTTATCATCGACTTTGAATCAAGCTATATTAAGATTTCTCGACAAATAATTTCAATTCTAAATTTTTCTAAGATCAAAAAGCATGTCAAATAGTTCTATCATCTGCGAATACACGAACTGATGCACGGACAAAGGACTATTCAAATGTAATGAATGCGACAAAGGATTCAAACTTTCCAATAATCTTAGAAAATGCAAACGGATGCATGGAGACGAACGAGCATTCAAATGTAATGAATGCAATAGTAAATTCAATTGAAATTTGAGAAAGCACGAAAAGAAGCGTGAATGTCTTAATGTGATATTGAGTTCTACGGTGAATTCCTTCTACATCAGGCAGCAGAAGAAGATGCGACATCTTCTGCATAGCTTTATTAATACAACAACTAATTTCAACCGTAGGATTTATGAAATTACTATATTTGTGATGGCTTAAATTAGTTAAACTGGATTAAATTTTAACTTCAATTATATTTTACCTGTTATTTCTCTGTATTTTTCTCTGAAAAAAGACTGTAAAAAATTGTGTGAAAAATTTTGAATCGAACAGAACTTCTTCAATCATTGCATTCATTTTATCACATAAATTTCCATCTATTATTTTAATTCATTGTGACAATTACCTATGCGTCATAGGTAACTGTCACAATGAATTAAAATTTTGTTCTATCGATCAATGTTCCTTTTTTCAATTATAACATTTGTCTATCGATCAATATATTTTTCACTTATAATTTCTTTGTGCTTTGCAAATCAAAAACATAGATTTATTTTTCTTAATACAAATATTAGCATTTTATATTATATTATTTACCTTTTTTTTCCTCTTAAAAATTTGCATAAAATTTGTACAAAAATCTTTTTGGTTTTAAAATCGTTGAAAATTTAAATAAAAATTGTATAATATAAAATACTAATATTTGATGTAAAATCATTCATTACTTCCAATGTAGAAAAACTACAACAACAACTATTAAGTGGTTTTCTACGTTGTTGTTAAACTTTTCGAAATGTAATTTAATTTGCTAAATTAAACTTTTTATAGCGAATAATTAATTCATACAAATAAACAATGAGTAATAATGTGATAAGGAATGTAAAGTAATATCAGAGCAGAAGGATTTTTTCTTTTGTGGAAAGAAAAGTTTTCGAAAAAGTTTAGGGAAATAAATATTCAAAAAAGAAATGTCCAGCATTTTTATAAATGATTATGTGAACTAATTTATAAAATATTACTGCATCATATTGAAATGAATAAGAGAGAGAGGGAGAGAGAGAGAGAGAGAGATAAATGCATAAATTCCTGAATGAAAAATACAAAGGCTAATTATACAAAGAAAAGAATTGAATTGAATTGAATATATTAGCTATTATTTATTATACAATGCAAAAAATGAAAATGAAATTTCGAAATTTACAAAACTTTCAAACAAAATTTCATTTCTATCCGATAATATATCGTCAATGATCCTTTAAAAAAGAACTAATCAATACCGAAGAAATTTAAATATCTGACAAATCATTGCTTATTTTGATGGAATTGTTAAATTTTGTTATTTAATAAAATAAAAGATAAAATTCAATCATAAATTTTCTAATACCTTCTCATCAAAGAATTTAAAATTCCATATATTACTGGAAGTTGTCGAAAATCTTCATTGCTGCTAACTATCAGAAATATCTTTTATTTCTCTCACAATTTTATTTCCACAAATCATTTCATTCTCATTCATAAAAATTTTTAAAGCTAAATTACTTCTCAAATTTCTTCATCGATTATTTCCATCATTTGCCGGGTAGTTGCTGTTAGCTAAAGATATCACAACTATTCGGTTCTATTCCTGAGAATTATACAAATTCAAAGGTCGTATATGCAAATAATTAATTAATCAGAGAAATTATTCCTTATTTTTAGCAATGAAATCAACAAGTATTGATAAAAATTTAAATTTTATATCAGCACTTAAGCGCTACTGCGTGGCAGTAGCAGGTGGAAAAAAAGAAGCCAATATTGTGAAACTAATGGTGAAATTCAGAACGAGTAAGCTCTTAATAGCTGAATATTGGGAAATCGTGAAATTTAAAAATTTTGAAAATTAAGCAGGCAAAAAAAAAATGTAAAATTATAGTACAAAAATATATGTGCAGGTAAAGTGAGACATAAAATTAGCTGCAAGTATGAACTGCTGCCGTTAAAAAACATCCCTTAGAATCAAGGAATTACCTAAAATATAAGTTTTTCAAGTAGCCTGGAATTGGAATATACACATGAATAAATTCAGGAAAATTTCCATAATTAATTTCTTTTCTAACCCATTAACTGATCAGAAGATCAGTTTGATTTTTAAATCTTACCTATCTCTTTTCCCTTTTTCAGATACTTAAACACTTAATTTTAAATCAAACTGGTCGAAAGATCAAAGTAATCATCCAAATACAAAAAAAAATTAAAATTTGAAATTTCTTATCGCTCAAATGGAAGAATCTGGAATGAACTTGATTACATCTAATCAAAATTCCTCTTCCATACACAGAGAAATAAAATTTGATTAAATTTGAAGGAACAGTGAAAAAAACAAAATTCACAGAACATTAACAGTATATAAAACAAATTTGAATCCTTGATGTCCATCAGAGAGATCAACGATTAACGACTCCGTTCTCGAGATGAATTGAAACAATTTAAAATTTAATTCACTTCTCTAAACATTTTTCTTTACCCTTCCCCTTCGATTTTTACAATTCTTCAAATTTCAAATATCCATTACACTTAAATTCTTTCTTTTAAATCATCAGAATTCAATAATTTAGAATGAGCTGTCAACTAGCTTGCGTTCTCTTCATAAAGCATGAAGCAGAAGGAATCAATAACAAAACAAATAGCGAGTGAAAAATTAGAATAAATCAGATTTAATTAAAAATTTAAATCAGTTGAAAAATAACTGATAAATAATATCAACATAATACATAAAAGAAACGCCGATAACATTAAGTTGCCTAAGGATGAGGCTGAATAGCACGAGTAGATTCATGCATGTTCACGGCGGTCATTTGCGAACCGACTAATACCATTGGCGGTTGTGTATTGGCTGTTATTCCTCCTTGTATCATACGACCATTCCCATAACCCATTCTGCAAAATGGAAATTTATCCTATAGAGATATGATTAGCCAATTCTTGATCATTCACTGTGGTCAAGCTTCTTATCTTATCTCTTCTTCTAATCATTCTCCGTCAGCTGTTGCGTATTCTCTCATGTTATGATGCATTAATTGATGATTAAATTTGATAATTGGCGCTACTTTCTGTTATATTCCCGTTATGATGCGAATATCTCTTAGATGTTGCTAATGCAAAAATGCTGTATGAACGGGATATATATAAAATATGAAAGAAATGGTAACAGTAAAAAGTTGTGTAACTAATATCTGCCATATAGGCCAATAGTAGACAATAGAAATGCCTTAAGAGTTTAGATCTAATCGTTTTTCATATTTACCGATAATATTTTCAAGCTCAATACAAATTCATTTCAGCATACTGAATTTGATTAAAACTCACAAATTCACTGGCGATGTACCATTCTGCCACATTGACCGATTGTTATCGGCCATTGCTATACTTTCTTCTTTCAATTTCAATGTGCCATTTGTTCGCCTATTATTTGTCTATAATAGATCATTTCATTAATTCGAATACTTTCAATTAAATTTCAATAATATAATAATTCATACTTAATCTTAAATTAGAATACAAATACGAAACAATCATTCAACAATAATATTTACACAGCGAATGTGTCATTAACAATGAATATTTCTTTCTATTTTTAACATTTTTACAAATTTAATTTAAAAAAATTCAAATGATTGTTTGTCTTAAAAATGTGTGCATCGATCATTTAATTGATTTATTAGTAATTAATTTTCTCAAAATAAATATTAAATTCAAATTAATAGTTTTATTCATTATATGCATAAAATAACGATGTAAGTGAGATTTTTGCGTTTACGAAAAGATAATTCTTTTTTTACGATTTTGAAATTTATAATAAATTTGTTCATATCAGATATGATTTTCTATTTAAGTAAATTAGTATATTAATGATTTTAATTTGAAGAAATTTAATAATTTTACAATTTTACATTGTTGTAAAATATATTTGTGATATGATTATTTTAGAATGATTATTTTAGTGATTATTTTTTAGATATAAAACAAAGATTTTTTATTAAAATAATTAACATATTAAAAGAATGAAATTATTATATCAGTGACGAATTACAAATGTTTTTTTTTCTTTCTTCTAAAGAAAAGGAAATGATGAAAATGTCGTAATAACTGAAATTAAAATTATCACAAAATAATCATTCTAAGTTTCAAAAGGGAAAAAAAATAGAACTAACAGCGATAACAATAAATGCTATCAATAGTATCGTTAATATACCAATAGCTATACAACCTCCAATAATATATGATGATGTATTATCTGATGTATAACCTTCGTGTACTCTTTCAACATAGTTCTTTGATATAAATCCTGAAGAAGTTTCACTTTTTAACTATTAGTAATATTAATAACTAATTATCATATTATTAATAATTGCCAATGATTATTAATAATCAATTATCCTAAATACCTCATTCATTCCAGTATTTCAACTTAATTTATCGATTTATTGAATTATCTAGATTAGTGATAACAAAAGCGCCTAATTTTTAGACTTCAATATTTGAAACTTTGAAACTTCTCACCATCAAGTACAATCGATCGCGGATCCACATCATTACCACCAATTTGTAAATCTTTGGCAGTAATCTGCTGTTCGAATTCGGTAGCCGACTGTTCCATATCATCAGGTTTTGTTGATGTATAGACAATACCGTCCACTATCACACTACCTTTCAAAAAGTTTACCAAGTGGATTCCACTATATATATGCCCAAATATTGATCCAAATATTTCTTCGAGCTGTAAAGAATAACCTGATGAAGATATATAGTATACACTTAAAATTTTTTTGAAATTACGAAGAGCTATTTAAAGTAAGATTGGTTATCACTTTAAGGATACTCATGGAAATTATTCATAGCGTAAATGTGCAATCAATAAATTGATGGAATTTTATTTAGCATTAAAAAAATTGGACTTTTCAAATCGTTATACATTCCCGATAATCATAAATCCTTCAGAATTCCTCATACATATCAGGAATTCAACATCACATGGAGAAATATTAAATTGAAAGAGATATCGGTCAATGACGCTTATCATCTTTGTATGATCATAATGTGAGCCTATTTGGATCTATGTAAAATACAATTATAATGTATTATCATAAATTTACATCTGGTAGAAGTTGATCTTGTAATTTTTTGTATTTCCCGCTATTTGGATCACCGAATTCTGGGATATAATCGATATTGGTAATACGAAATGAGAATGGTACCTTATAAGCTCCTTCTTTGGCTAAAAATAATTAAATTTCAATTATTTAAAATTCTTAAATTATATTCTAAAAACAGAGAAGAAAAAAGAGAATGATGAAAAATAAGAAAATGAAAAAACTTTTTGATTTTTTAATGCAAAACAAATATTCTTTCTAACATATATTTGGCATAAAACAAATGAAGAAAAATTTCTCTCTTTCTTATATCTTTAATGATCTCTCTCTCTCTCCCTCTTTCTCTTTCTCTTTTCAAATTATATATTTTAAGAATTTTATTATTCCAAAAATACAAATGATTCATTTTTATAATAAACAAAAACAATATTTGATGAAATTAAGAGGGGAAAAAGTAATTTCAATTAAAGGTGGATTGCAAAATTTTATGATAATATCAGTAGGGTAGATGATCTTTCATTTCGCTTTTTTTAACACACTTATCAATTGAATAATTTCTTATCGATCTTTTATTGAAAATCTTTCTATATCGTAGGAACAAAATAATAAACTATATTATAAGGCTTAGAATTTGATATAATTTTATTTATCATTAAATAATATTAGCCATTATTGATGAATACAATTGATATTCTATTCAAATTAAAATTAAAAGTTAAATGAGATGAAAGAACAATAAATAGTGAAAAAATAAATTAAAATTTACCTGTAATATGTGTACGATCAATATGTAATATACCATTTAAATCATTCTTACTTTCATTGGAATCTTAAAAATTTTAAATTTAAGATCCGCTTTATGTCTTTATGGTCTTTATGGTTAAACATTTAAATATTTAAATTCTTAATTTGAAATTATGCGTTAGTTTAAGTAAATTCGTCCTCAATTACCTACCTTCAGGTATAACAGTAAATTGTGGTTCAGGTTTTGGTTTAAAATCGCTCTTTGATTCAGAATTTTCAAATACTCCATTTTCTGGCAATAGCACAACTTCAGGTATTGGTTCAGGTTTTGGCATTAGTTTCGGTTCTAATATTCGTTCACCAATGGTAGTAGGCCTAAACGTGGAAGCTATTCCTTCGATATCTAAAAATTTATGTCAAAGTTTATTATTTAAAATATATTTTTTACTTTTCTGCAAATATTCAATAAATATGGCATTAAAAATTTACAAATGGAACAAAACCTGTATGATAAAAGCTGTCAACAACTACTGAGATATCTTTTAGGTCATCGCCCTCTTCGAGGAAATTTGTCACTGTTCGCGATTTCTCAACTGAGGTACGTTCATCTAGAGTAGAATTGAAATTATTCATATTTTTTACAATCAAGCAATATAATTTTATACACCAATCTGCCAGCCAATCTATTATCGCAATAATTTATCTGCTTCTCTATTAGTCTATTATCACGATAACTCACATTACACGAAAAAGAAAGCTAAGAAATTAGAACTTTAGAGGTTTTTTTACCAGTCCATATTTTATCTATCCATCTCTGAAAATTTAAAATTGAAATTTTCTCGTATATGTTTAAAGCAAGCAATAGAACTGTTGAAAATGAGCTATTGATAATGATCTATTGATAATGAGCTATTGAGAAGTGAGCCGTTGATAATAAGCTATTAATAATAAAGTAAGTTAACTTCCAAAGATAACAACAAATGAGCAGCTCATAACAAAATTTCAATATATTGTCTGTAATATAAAATACTTTGATTTTTCGAATGGACGAAGAATTTTGACTTTCTAAATTTTTGAAGTAAAAAATAGCAATTTACAAAAAATGTTGAAAAAAGAAACTTACCGTTGTGATGCTCATTAAAATTTGCAGGTAAATCAATTGACACATCTGTTTGCATCTGTAATAATTCATTCATTTCTTCATTTCATTTTAGTAATTTAATCTTATTTGAACTTTTTTGACCTAATTGTATTTTAATAAATAATTTCAACGGAACAAATTCTTCGTAGAAAAGCTTAATTTCAACTTATTCGTTAATCTCTCATTCCTTTTAATTTGCCTTAGCAAATATTTTTTATTAAAATGTAATGAGAGAGAGAGAGAGAGAGAGAGAGAATTCAAATTCTTTCAATCTGTTCAATTCATTTTCAAATTTAATACAGAAGTAAGAAAGTGTGTAAAGAATGATATAAGCTTAGATAATAGATTGCTTTTGTAATTTACAACAAAACAGAAAATGACAAACAGAAACTTCAAATGATATATCCGATAATTGACAAGAAAAGAGGTGATAAAGAAAAACAAAGTGACATACCTTAGATTCAATGTTTGATAATGTATTGTGTGTCGTAGCATCGATTCTCTGAAAAGGAACAGTTTAGCATTTTCATTCATCCAACATAATTTCTACAATTTTTCTCTAATTCTATTTTATTTTCACATTTGACCTATTAGCTAACTGAAGTATTATTTAAATGAAAGTGAAGGGAAGAGGAACATTGAGGTATCGGAGGCTTAAAAGATTATCTGGGAGCTTTAAAATGAAAATCGATAATTTAAATTTCATAAAAAATTGTTTTACAATAACTTTAACTTATATGCCTTATAAACTATTTCTAAAAATTTTCAACTATAAGTGTTATTATAAATTATCTCACTATGCATAAAAGTTCGAAATTTCTTAATTTCCTTCAATTTTGGGTGTATTAATTAAAATTGAATTTCTATAAATTATCATTATTCATTTATCAGATAAGAAGAAAATAATATTACCACTTGTCGGATTTCTTCTGTCGCTTCTGGTCCTAATCTTTCGATACGTGAAAAACCGGGAACACCAAAGTTTTCCTCGGATGTCTTCAAAATTATGAATATATTTTCAATCTTTATAATTAAATATTCATTGAAATATTCATTCGATTAATTTTCACTTACCTAAATTACAAATATCTTTCTGTAAGATTTAAAAAATTTTCAATTTCATCACATAATTATCGTATGGATTTTAAAAATCAAAACTATACCGATCTGATTTCCTCAACAATTGATGGAAAAATCAGAAATTTAAACAAACATTTAAATCTGTCTATTCTATTTGTTTTGCTCAATTTGTGAAATAAAATCAGACAATCAAGAATGATTTTAATTTAATTTAAAGTTATAGGCGAATGATAGATTCTAAAGAAGAAAGAGAAGGAATTTTAGCGAAATGATTAAGCATAACAATGACCTATGACCAAAGGATTCAGACTAGCAATAATTTTAACTATTTGTTTGTGAGCTTATTATCACTTATTCAGGATTATTGGTATAGTATTCTTTTTTATAGCAACATGTCTAACTCAGTCCAGCACTGAATGCAATTATGTCAATCATTTTTGGTTAAAGTTCATGATCTTAGCCATTAATTCATCTTATTCAATCTATCCATTAGTATTTGTAATTTAAATTTATTGATTAGATTATTGTTTCATTTATTCCATTGTCAATTACAGAAAATACATTTTTGAAAATAAACTTACTTCAGTTGGAGAAGTGAATTCAGTAATTGAATGTGTACTACTGAGATCTGGTTTAAAGATGTTATCTTGATTGAATAATGTTTTGTCTCCAACAAATAAACTTTCATCGTCATCATCATCCTCTCCGTGCTCATTTTCATTATCTGTACTGAACTCATTTATCGTCATTGTTGTTGTTGTTGTTGTTGTTGTTGTTGTTGTTGCTGTTTTTGTTACTGTTTGGGGTAACTAAAAATAAATAATTCATCAAATTGTTCATTTTCACCAATACTTTAAACATACTAATTTTGTAAGAGTTAAAAGAAAAAAATTTTAATTTAATTTATATTTTTAATTTTAATGTTAACATTTTTATTAACAACCATACCATAAAAATTATCAAATTAAATTTTTACTTTAATTGAAATGGTTGGGATCTTTGTTATTTCCCATTGGTGCTCTATTTCAGAAGATACAGTTGCTAATGATTCTGTTACAAATGCATCATCAGCTGATGGTTGAGAAAATGATGAATGAGTGAATGATTCTGTTGGTACCATTTCAACCACTGCAACAGATATTTTTGAAATGTAATTTTACTCTTATCAAAATTTTTATTGAAGTCCAATTTGTTCAACATCATCATCCATCACTAAAAAGGTGTTTTCGAGCTATTTGACAAGGTAACTTCTAAAGGAAATCGGAAATGTAAATGTAATTCAACAAATCAATTCTTTCTAAAATATTGAAAGAAATAATGGCACCTGGGGAAGTATGATGTTTTTCAGATTCCTGCGACATATCAACAGTCGTAATTCCATCCATGACAATTTGTCTGGCCATTGTTGATTGCTCATCATTACCTATACTGAATATTTGTGATGTGATAGGATGCAACACTGGAATTCCTGAACAACGAAAATTTTAAAATATTGTTTGAAATCTTCTGATAACATAATAATTTAGGTTATCATGAATGTAGTGATATGATATTTCAGTAGAAGAAAGATTTACCTGTAGTCTGTTCTACTGATGTTATGATATTAGACGCAGTAGTTTGGGAGATGATATCTGGCGTTGTTTCCATAATTGATGCTGAAATGAATATCAGAGAGTTAATTATCTTTGATAAAGAAACAGACGATTATTCATACATATTGTAAATTGAAATAAATGAAAAAGATTTTCATTGGAAATTAGTTATAAAGTCAAATTTTTAATTATATCCCTGTAAAATCAATTTTTGAATTTTCCGTTTTTCAGAAACATTTCACGAATTTACAATATCATTGATTTTTATCGCTTTCATTTAATGTATAAACGTTCTCTTTATCACTTATCTCAAGTTATATCCGTGATTATTTTATAAGGAATTTTAATAACAAACTTTCAAACGTAGCTGTTATATAAGAAGTAGTATTCTTACTTTGCTTTTCAGATATAGCAGCTTGTGATATCTTCTGAATTCCTAATGCCATCGTAGTTTCACTTGTCATTTGGCTAATTGGTGTTTCTTGTTCAGGTTTTAATGATGCTGAAGTTCTATTGAATGTCATATCCGTAGTATCGGTATTAAAATCCTTATCAAGTGTACTTGATTGGTCCACTTTCATTGCTTCATTCGATACACTACCAGAATTATTCAGAAAACCGGAAGCAGCTAACAAATTCATTTTTGAATTAGAATTATTCTGAATCACATGAGGGATATTTTGTTGCGAAATTGATGAATTTGAAATTATTGATTGGCCATTATTTGTTGCTGCAAATGGATCTTCTGCTCTAACCTGAAAAGTTCTTAGTAAAAGTATTGAAGCACTAAAATTTAGAATAAACAAAAAATTCTGAAATATTGGAACAAAACTTTTAATTATAAGAAAAGTTATTAATATAGAAAAAATGGAAGGCATTTTTAACATTTAAATAAAATCACTGATTTCATTTAATTTTTCCTTTTTTAAAATAAATCGAAGTTGTCAGATGTGATAACCGTAATATCATTCCGGTAATATCATTCCGGTTTTCATTTATTTATCATTTCATTTCATTTGAAATTTCGTTTCTCTAATTTTTAGCATAAATTAATTCGAAAAAATAATTAATATTTTCTGTTTTAATTCAAAGCAATGAATTATTTTGATGCAATTTTTTTACAACAAAAAAGAATGAAGAATATTGCGTAAAAATTATTTCTTAAAATTGAAATAATTGCCGTTGAGAGTAGCAAAAAAGCATAAAGCTATTAAAGTTTTATTAATTGATCAGAGATGATAAAGGACCGGTTACAACCGGAAATTTCTTACTACGACAGAGGAACAAAAGGACAGGTTTCACTAAAATTCTACAATTTTAAAAACGATATCTTACTTATTTATTCAATTTCATTTGTTGATAAATTGAAAAGTTGAGATGGACACAGTTTTATAGATCATAACATTATCATAATAACATCTTTCGTTTTGAAAGATGTTAACGTTTTGAAAAAGAAAGGATAAGTGTCAATTCGAAATTTAAAATCAAATTTTGAAAAGGTATGGATCATAAATTTGATGAAAAACAATAATTATCATTTATCATTGAAAATTTAAAGTTATCAAAGTTTTAAAAATTAAATTATAACCATTATAACATATGAGAAAGATATTAAAATCTTAAATTCGCAATTGATACCTCTGGAGGTAATTCATCTTCATCTTCGATATGTTCTGACATTTTAGTGATAACATCAGCTTCACTAATTGTTGACAAACTTAATTTTGGTATTTTTGTTAAGCTCGAAATCGATGTTTCATCATTATTTCTCCTCCTATAAAGATATTAATTAATAGAAATATAAGTAAAATTCTAATTTTCTAAAACCTAAAGATTTCAATAAAATATGATTAATAAAATTAAGAACTCAAAGTTCAAAGTTTGATGCTTTTTGGAATTTCATTCTTTTTCAAATATTCTATGTTTTCCGTTTTTTAATTCTTTTATTTTCTATGTTTTTGTTATGCTTTAAATAAATAAAGTTCGGATAATCGTTTAGTGATAATTGAAGAAAATGAGTGATAAAAGTTTTAACTACTTATAATAATTATTATAAGGAAATGGATGATAAAAGTTTTCGACAGAGTAAAATTATTAATGAATTAAATTTTCCATTGATTTCTTATAGAAGTGAGAGAAAAAAGAAGTTGGAAAAAGTAATTCATAAGTTTCTTTTCTTATGCATTAAAATTTTACAGCAATTTGATTTCAATATCTTAGTATCGAATCATTTATTCTTGATTTTAAATTTCATACTTCCATTTGTTGTTAGCTTTTCAAATTTCAACACTGATGGTATTTACTTCAGAAAGAGCGGACAAGTCGTACATCACATTATTCCTACTATTTGTTGTGACCTTTTCATACGATCATAGGAACTTAAATGCATTCGAAGTAACGATGAAAGCTTTTAGTAAGTAATATAATACTGAACTTCTTATTATATCTAATTGAAGTTTACCATTTTCGGATTGCTTGTATCGGAAGCTCACTAAATTCCTCTCTTTTTGCATTTAAGATAGAATTAAATGATAAATTCAGGTGATGACAAAGCAGTTCTTAGCTTTATACAAATTTGAAAATTTTTTAGCTTTTAAATATTTTTAGGGCATTTATGAATTCATTATAACTTTTGGATATTACTGTATGAATGCCGGAACAGTCACACAAGTTCATATCCGATAAACTAAACTGTATTTAATACATTTTATAAGTAATATCCCAAATGCTATAATGGAAAGTTTAAAATTGTAAATCTTTATAAGTATGTCTTTTTCTTTTTAAATATAAATGTATTTCTTTTTTAAAAAGTTATAAAAATATTTGCTATTATTTTTAGTTCGTTTTAATATTACACAATCGTATAATTATTACCTTTGCATTAATCTATCATACATTCATTATCATATCTTCGATAATCCTTAATTGGCTAACTTCTTATCACAAAAAAAAGCAGAATTTCAATTTAAAAAATAAATTACAACAGAACTGATTAGACTAATTATCTTGTAAGTGATAAATTTTATAAGAACTTATTTAAAAAAAGTAAGCGTAAAGTTTACCGTATTAATACTGCTTACTGAGTTTTTTTAATAATTAAATGCATATGTAAATAAATTCTCATTCTCTTCAATGATCGTACAATCAATCACTAAAATAGTCGTCAAGTAATGTTAAACTTTTTAATGATCCTAAAACTGATGATCTATGCATCTTCAATATCATTAATGCCACTAATTCGCATTTCAATGGTGCTAATACGAAGGATTAAAGAAGCCAAGAGAAAAAGAATGAAATAGTCAAAGATTAGGATTAAATGATGTATTGGATTAAATCTAGGTTGACCTATTGGTTGCTATAAGTGTCAGAGGAAGATTTTCTTAGTATTAAAGGACTTTAAAGAAATTTATTTGCTATTGGAAACATCATTAAAGAATGGACAAAAGCAATTGATTAGTTGAGAAGGAATAGTTAAAGAGTAGTGAGATTGCAAATATGCTGAATAAGAAAACAAAGGAAGTGATTTTTAGAATTTTAAGAATCTTATTAAAAGTTTATAAAACAAATTTGAAAAACGTTGAAATTACTCTTGTTGTGTTGCATTTTGATATTTGAGATCATCGGATTGCGCTTCGATAGTTGTTGCACCGCGATCGATTTCAGTAATGAATGGCAACGTTGTTGATAAAGATTTTTGTTCAGGAACTTTAAATTTTGAATCGTCTACCTCTACAGCTCTTTGAATTTCAGGAAGCGGAAATCCTCTTTCTCGAGGTGCAATCGTTTCTGCTAATTTTTCGATAGGAAAACTTCGCTCAGGCGATAATGGAACAGCTTCTGATTCTGAATTAGATATTATCTGTACAGTTTGCGATGATAATGGTGATGGTGATGATGATGAAACTGCTTCCATTGTATTATTTTCAGGTTCAATATTCTGAGCAATTGCTGCAATGTTGAAAAATAAATTCATTATCTTCGACTTCTTCCAATATATACTTGAAATAATATAATTTTTTTATGTGAAAACTTTTCAACATTTTAAAGTTGCAATGATACAACTATCATTAACTCATTAATTATCATTAACTTAAGAGAAAAGAATATGTAAAATTAAAAACAACAATTGAAATTTAATCACTAAAGAATTTATTATTCAAAAATTATGGATGTAGAGAAGGATAAGCTTACCTGAAAGAAGAAGAGCTAATAAATGAATTAAAATTTCACTTCGCATCCTTTCCCAATTTTTCGTTCTTTCTATCCGAACTTCTTACCTATCGCACCAGCACTACTGCAAAACTTCTTGAGTATTGAAAAGCCTACAAATATGAAATTAAAACGATACAATTAAAATGAAAAAGAAATCGATTAGCGTTTTTCAAATTGCTCTTGTCAATTGCCAGATGGTTGAAATATATTTTATTTTATTAAGTAATAAATTATCCGTAAATTTTATTACTACGAAAGTGTAAAAATATTTGTAAAAAAAATATTATCATTTTAGCATTAAAGAAATTTCATGGCATAATTATGAAAGTTTTAATTCCTTCAACTTTAATTCAATAGATAAGAGAATCTAATGATTGAATGAATAAATCTTAAATTACTAACAAATGAATGTTATGAATATTTCAGGTCAAATTAAATTATTATAGGTCGATATTATTTCCTTCACAAAGTTCAATTACTAAAATAGTCGAAGGAAACGAAGGAAATAACAATCGATATTATAAATTACTTTAAAATGAGCATGTTAATGATCGGAGAAAGCAATCAAATTTAAATATGATTAGAAGAATTTGTACGAAAAAGAAATTGTCGCATTTGCAAAATAAAAAGAAAAACTAACAAAAGAAATTCACAAAGTAAAATATATGCCTTAAGGCCATATGTTACAAAAAAAAAATATTTGCCTTAAGGCATATATGTTTTGCTTTATAGAAACAATAATTTAGGAAATCATCTTTTTACTATTTACGATAAAAAATTTAAATCGGATAATTTTTTTTTGTGATATATTGCATTGAATCAGTTATTCCGGATATTTGATGATATATGAATGGTTGAATAAATGATACGCAATTGTGACAGCGAAAGCAATTACTGTTTTCTATCGTTGAAAAATTCAGTTTTCTTTCATTCAATGAAAAGCTTATATTTACAGTTGCATAAGTGAATAAGAGAAATGGGAATGAAATATAATTTCATATTAATTTTAATAGATATATCTTTCGATTAAATGTGAAAATAATTTTTCGACTTTTTCCAAATTTCAAATTAATTTTAAATTATTATTATAATTGATAAAAACAAATATTTAATGACTAATAGCAATAATACATTTAAACAATCGAAATTAGAAATTTCATTTTATTATAAATTATCTAAGAGAAGCAAATGAATGAATTTATTATTGGCGAATTAAACAATGATAGTAAAATTAACGAAAGATTTAATAGGAAGATTGAATTAATAACAAATATTATCATAAGATTGATTGATTGTAATCAGACAGGTAAATAGAAAGGATCACATAATGAATGTTAGGAATAGAATTTGAATTTAAAAAATTTGAAGATAATTAAAATCCGAAATTAATATCAATGATTATTCGAATAGACTAATTAATTACATTTATTTATAAATTCAATACTCAATTTTAGTGTTATGACAAAAGAAAAGATATATAAAAATGAGCGATTAATTGAAGAATGTCTGTCATTTGACAGTAATAATTTCATAACTGTCAAATGTTTCTGTAATAATGTCACCAAAGAGTGAAATATAATTTGAAATGAGATTAATTGGAGAAAAAAAGAAAGAATTTGAAAATTTCATTACTGAATGCAATCCAGAAAACCGGTTTTACCCATTTGCTAATAAGACAAAAAGGTCAGAAATATGAACAAACCTTCAATTTAATGAATATTACCTTAACAAATAAGAATGTTGAAAAATGAAAATTCTTTCAAAATAGCTAATTTGAATGAAAGTTAAAGGAAATAATGCTAAAAGGGAAAAATGTCAATTTTATTTATTTATTTCTCTTTGTTTTTATTGCATTATTTACTGAAATTTATGAATTTGTTCGATTAAATTGAAATAATTTTAACTTAAAATTTCTTCCAGCTGGCAACAAGACAATAGTAATTCTCTATTCTTTATTCCCTTTTCAACTAATTTCCATTTTAATCTTTTTTTTACAAAGAAAGAGAGTGAGAGAGAGAAAGAAGAGAGAGAGAGTGGAAGAGAAGAAATGAGAAAATTTTATGTTTTTTTTAGAAAAGCTAAAAATTTTGTATAATATTTTTAAATTAATAAAATTCAACAAAATTAAATTTTACTAAGGAACTTCTACAATGATAAATTTCATATTAAAAAGAATTAGCATATCAAAATTATGAATTAAAATAAATTAAAAATTGAAAATGGAAAGATAAGTGAGTGAGAATGGCATGGAAGACAAGGATCGTCCATTCCTCATCATTTCAAGGATCATTTGATCATTCCAATGGTATGAATTATTTATTGTTGTTAGTTAAAGATCGAAAAAGAAATTAAAATTTTTCATTTCTTTTTGAACAAAGCTATTTTTTCAATGCAAAATATGAGGAAGGAAGGGAAGAGAAGAAAAGAGAATGGATAGGTAATATTTAAGGTATGAATGAAGAAAAATGATTGATTCGTGTTAGTTGAAGCATTAAATTTTGACATGTGAAATTTCACTATCGTCGCAATTTGTGGAAATGATAGTCATTTTAGAAATTTTCAACAGAATTTTTTTTTTAAAGATAATTAATTTCATTTAAAAGATAGCTTTTAGCAAAACAGATTTTGCCATTAAACAATAATACTTTTTAAAATATCGTATTCAATCAAAAAAACTAATTGTTAAAATAATGGAAAATGTATTGGTAAAAGAATACAGAACACGAAAACGCAAAAATCCTTACGATCTTTACGTAATATTCGCTACCTGAAAAATAAATAAACCTAAAAGCCAAAATTAATTTATGATATAATTGATTATTTGATAACAAAATGAAATTGGAGATTTGCTTATGATAAACAAAACTGATAGCTGACAACAACTGATTAATTTTATCAAATTCTAAATTTCACTTATAAAATTGTTACAGGAATATAATGCAAAAGAAAGAATTCTCTAAAAAGAAAAGCCAAGTAAAAAAGTTGAAATAAGTCAAGCATTTTTAACTATTCAAAATGATGAATTTGCATAATTAACAAGTCTGTATCATTCATCCTTTTAATCAACTATTACCTCTACCTATGATTACAGGTAAGAGAATCAAATAGTTAAAAATAAATTCGTAATCTGATATAATATTTGGAAGTGAAAAAAGTTTTACTTTCTTTAATTGAAAATCCTCAATGATTGAAGAATTCTTGCAAAATTATTTTATCGTTTTCTTCTATCATTTAAAATAAAAAAGTATTCAAATATCGAATTCGCTGGTACGAATAGCTATTTTAGCAATTTTAAATAAATTTAATTATTACAATTTTATTTTGTTTGAGAAAATTCTTACATTCTTCTTATCAGTTGATTATAATATTTTGCATTTTATATCAGTAAAAACAAATTTGATGTGATAATAGAAGAAAAAAAATTAAAGAAGACAAATGAAACTTCAAATACAAATTTAGGCATATCAGTAATACTGTCAGCAAAATAGATTCAGAATTTGCAATTTGAATTAAAATAGATGAAAGGTATACTTTGTGTATGATTGATAACTTCTAAGTACGCTTACTGATAAAACCGTTAAAAATGGGAATGAGTAGTGATTTTCTTACAAATAAATGAAGAAAAGGTTACGATATGAAGTGGTCAGCGAATGATTAATGAATTAATGGAAAAATAAAGAAAAATTAGAAACAATAGAAATAATTTATGAAATATGATGTGCATTTATCATTTTAACAATAAATCCTATATTTAATCATTTATCACTTTCTCTATCTCCGATTGAATTAAATTAGATCAGTTAAGTAAGTACACGTTGTGCAACAATATATAGTTTTTTTTAGCATAAAATATTTTAATTTAATAATCATATGAAATTTTTCAAAAATGAAAATTATGCCAGTCAGATCAGATATTGATGATAACACAATTTATGAGATAAAAAATTAGACTTGAAAAATTTGATAGTATTTTTGATGATTGGATAGGAATTGAAAGATAGATAGTGTAATAATAATGCCAATTTTTATGATCAGTGAGATGAAATTAAGGAAGATGATAAGAGTATCGAAACACGATTTGGTAAAATCTTTTTCTCTTACTTCATCTTTTCTTCAGATATGAGGAAGATTTTATCACCGTTTTAAATCATTATCATCATGATCGTAGAGATTGGTAAAGAAATAGCGAAAGATTGATTTGAAAGAAGAATTTGTTAAGAGATTGGAAAAGGGTTAGAAGGATAAATTAAAATTTTGAGATTTTCTTTCATTCATTTAAGCGTAATTTAGAATGATGAAAAATTGTGCATAAAGGGAAGATTAAAGTGAAGATTGATAAGATTAATTTCATCTCTTTTTTTTTTTAATAATAATAATAATGCTAAATGAAATAGAATATTTTTTATTGATATCTTTAAAATCGGCTTAAAAAGCTAATTGCAATGAAGTGGACATTAACAGATATCAAATGATAGGTTATCAAATTAAATATCCTGATTATGATTATCAGGTTGCATTTTATCAGATAAAGAAATTTGAAATTGACTTATTGAAGGGTAAAATATCTAATACGAAGTTATATTTGATAACTGACTATTGCTAACTGGTATTTATGTACAAGGATAATTTGAAATTGACCATTGCTAACTGGAATTTATGTTAAATATCTCGTAAACAAGTAAGAATGTAAACAAAATATTAAGCTGGTAGAAATGTGGTATAAATTAAATTGGCATAACTTCTCCGATTTATAACAGATGTAAAATAAACATGCTGCATCAGCGCATTAATTGAAAATTATCTCCAATAAAATTTTCGTTTTAGTTCGTTTTTATTTTCTCCAATAATGTCAATAGAGATTTTGAGATAAAATTTTACAGCAACAATTAAAATGAATTAAATAAATTTGATGAATAAACTTAAACAGGGATAATTATTCGAAGCAAAGTTAAGTTAATAAAGAGCTAATTAATCTTATGAGCTTAATTAGTTAAATTCTATACTGAATAAATTAATAATAGCATT